GCCTGACTTATAGATAAATCATTATTTGGGAATTTTTGAAGCATGTGCTGGCAGGATTGTGACTGTGCATTAATGAACGCTTGGGGTGTATGTTTAGACAGAGGTCTCGGTGTGCAGAATGCTCAACTTCTGGTGGCCACTGGCACTCATACTGGCGTCCCAGAGGATCAGCCGGCCCATTGTCCATCTGCTGGTGTCTCGAGACCTCCGTGGAACACCTGCTGCCACGGAGGTAATGCAACAATTGACGTCCCATTACTTGGTTACACTGCTTATATGTTTGTTGTTGAAGAAAGACCAAAAAAGGCTAATATGAAAATAGTTAAATGGGGAAACCCGTGTGCAGTGACATGTCGCTTGAATATGTGTGCAGTCAACTACTCATTATAAACAAAACAATCAGTGTCGTTGTGGAGAATGTACGTAAAAATAAACAGATAATACGGCTACATCTTGACTTAAAGCGTTCGTGACTGCAGGGATTCATATTCTTTGGGTCTTTCGGTAAAGCAATCGTCATCAGGTGAAACAATATAGCTCTCCCGCTATATGTTTTCACCTGATGACGATTGCTTGTGTTGCGATCGAAACGTCGTGATATTTTTTTTATTATTTTGCTATCTACGCAGCTTTACCGAAAGACCCAAAGAATAGAGATAATACAGCTCTTTCACATATCTGTCTTTTCACGTAACAAATGTAAAGTATTTTTTACACATCCCATCAGCCATCTGGCACTCTAGGAGTGCATACTCTCAGCAGGATAAAATAATACAACTTTGGACCTGTTTTGACATTCAACGTTTCACCACCCTGCCCGCAGCAATGTTAGCCAACTGCCAGATTTCGATAGACAAGGACCCTCCCCACCAGATGCGATCCCAGTTCGACGCAAAAACAGCTAATGCAAAACGAAATAATCATCAGCATCGTGGAGAGTACAAACGACAAGATAAATAAGCAGATATTGAATTCATGATTCTCCTATTGGGACGCTCAGTGTCGAGGCCAATTTGCTTGTGTTGAACAAATGCTGCTGACATGCAATCCCAGAAGGCCTTGGGGCTAAAGGGATGTGTAAACATTTGTTATTTTTTTCTTTTACATGGAGGAACAGATATGTGAAGGAGGCTGTTGTTTACTTATTTACTTTCTTGTCAACTGTAGAGATATTTTTAAATATAGTTGTGGGTATGATGTGCAAATCTGATTTTATACTCTGCCAAGTCCTGTTACAAGTGCAGCCTGTCACAAACACACTGCTTTATACACTGATTGCTGTGTTGCCTTCCTGTAGGCTGTAGCAATCATGACAACAACCTATCCAGTGGGACACATGCCTTATGGATGGCTCAGAGACCTGAGAACAATATACCCAGCTTTTTGTAAGGTACATCTCTATATTTATGTAAACATAACACATAATTTTTGTGGGCAATATCTTCCCCGTTAAAAAACCCAACTTGTTATTTGTGTGGCTTATATACAACACCAATAGTGCTAAATGAACCATGAAGGTAAAAACTGCTCCCTCAACTAAAATGCAATTGCACATGCGATGATTTATTACCCAATAATCCCATGGGGTTTAACACCATGCTGGAATCATATAACCAAACAAGAAAATGTATTTTCAGCCTCTAAGAATGTGCAGGATATACATTTGAAGGTCACTCATAATTTTAGCATATTTAGAAAATGCAGCCTATACTTTAGGGGTTTTACTTTTACTACAACTGTATGCTACAGACTAATCCCAGAAACCGCTCGCTGTCATCACCTGGAGGATACTTCTCTCCTGCAGAGATAAGGAACTTCACAGCAGCTTGTTTTGCTACTGCCTTCAGCGTAAGTACAATTCATGATAATTTTACCAATACAATTCTGGTGAATCGCCTAACAGCAGAATTTGCATTTTCTGATTCTGTTATGTCTTTCGTATGAAACAATGTTCCCATACTCTGCCACAGTTGTGCCTGCTGATGTTCTGGTTCCCTGGGCTGGCTCAGAGAATTCTGGTGACCATCATTGGGCTGAAGCCCACATTTGCCCAACGCTGCATTGTTCCACTTCAAATTTTTTCGTTCTTTCCAATCCCAAGTAAGTGCTCGCTTTTACCAGCTGTGCATGCTTCCCATGTGCATCATGGGATCTGAAATAACCCTCGACTATTTAAATGTCTTCCCTCGATGGGACTTTCAAAACTAGAAATGGGTACACACCCAAGACAGCATCCACCATGGAGTAGTATAGAGATCAATTTGTATTCCAAGAGATAGGCAGATTGTTGCATCGCCATATCCTCAAGAGTTAATTGTGGCTATGGGAGGCCTTTGTCCAGCAGTGGATAGATCATGGTTGAGTATAATGAGAATGAAATATTTACAATGGTGCGAGAGTTACAAACAATTACCATGGAGTGAGAAGTTAGTACATCCCACCCTTGATCACAAATGACACATTTCATCTGAGCCATACCAGCCAGGGTCCACCCCAAGGTTGATGCAGATGCAGTTATTGTTACTCACTGTTGGTGGTATTACCAGGACTTAAAAAAATAGCAAATTGTAATTTGTTTTATATTTCTTCTTTTAACGGTCAAGCGCTAAAGATTCAGATCTGTCCGATTTGGATTTGGAAGCTCAGCTGAAATTAAGGTTCTATTTGATTTTGCTGTGGTGGATTTATCATTCCTATTGAAAACATTAACCACGTGCATTATTTATATTTATAATGTCACAACCAGAGAGACTAATAGCTATCTCAAGACTAATTTAGTTTCCATTTGATTTATTTTACAATTTTATTATTTGTCAATCGAAAATAATGATCTATATAAATTCAACTTTGCATGTTTAAGTTTATAAATCACAGAAATAAATGCAATAAGCAGAATTCAAAATCGCCTACCTTGTCACACTTTTAATCACCAAGGTCAATATTAGATATTGTGCTGGAGCATTACCTTCTGCCACTGCTAGATACCGAGTGATCATCATGTCTCTTTCCTTCACAGTTACAATCCGTGCACATCTCAGTGGGTGGCTCATGATGCTCAAGCAAACGCGAATCATGGCCCCAAGCCCGTTTATTCGACTCACTGTACTCGTTAGCTGCCTCCTCGCCCTGCCCTACCTCGGGTGGGCATTTACACAAAGAACATTCACAGAACCACAATGTACAAATCATAAAACGCAACACATTTGTCAACAAATGCATCACAATGTACACATGGTAATTAGAGTGGTTTCTTGTGCAAATGAGCATCTAGGCAGAAATAACTCCTGTTCATAGCCCTAAATTATGGAAATTTGCCATTCCGAAGTCTATGTATATGACAACCACTTGATTTTCCCACAGTGGGCTGTCAATCCCCAAAATACATACAGGTGTTTTGTCTACTGTTTCTTAAGTTGAGTTCTTCTGTTAATTGATTGGTGCACTTTTCGTAACCTTCAATTTTCATTTTTAGAAGCATTTTTATTTATTTTGAACAATAACTTAAGATAAAAAGATTTATTTTATACAATGTTGTGTTATACTGCCCTGAACCAACTATTTGGATTTGGATTCGGCAAATACAATACTTAAGCATGTCTATGCTTAAAATGTGCACACTGCCAAACATTGGGCATGTTTGATCGACTTCACTATGAGCGTCCAGCTTAACCATATCTTTTATTCCAGTGTCAAACACATGCTTGCACATCAGATGAACACAAATTAGACCATACATTAGTCTTCAATTTGCTTCTCGAGATGTGACGGCTGTGCACACTCGGGTGTGTGGTGGTGTGCAGTGTGCACGGTGCCGCTCTGGGCGTGGGGTCACTGCTGGCAGCCTTTCTCGGCGAGGCCTTCTCTGTGATGGTTGCTTTCTGCTACATCTGCTACAAACAGGCATGGTTACCTATCTTTCTGCTCTAAAAGCATAAAAGGGCAACTTCTTGTTGGGGATGGGAATTGAAATAAATTACAATCCACTGCCAAATAAAGTTCAGATGGGCACATTGCATTGCTTTATTCACAAGTAAATGTAATCACGTTGGAAACGTTGATACTTTTTTATGGAGCTATTTCTCTTTGTGTTCTTGTTGTTTTTAAAGCCGCTTGATGTCCCAAAGGGCTTGCCGAGTGCAGAGACGTCCGAGCCATCAGACGAGAGCGACTGGAGCATTTACGATGACGGGACGTGTGAGCGTGCCACACTTATCAGCGACACGACCAGTGCCACCACCGTTCCACACAGAAAAGGGCTGTATACATAGCAATACTCAGACCAGTAAAAACGGCAGCTTGCAACAGAGCAAATACTCCACCATTCTGAGAGCTCTCAATCAAGACAGTTGACCTCTCGGCCACAGTGGTATCATAGATATGTAATTGGTCAGCATTTAAGGCAAAGGACCTCTTTACAGTATTGTGCAGCCTGTGTCAAAATATAACAAAATATAAAAACACGTCTTTGTTGAGGTGGATATTTATTATTGAGGTTTTTTTTTTTATTTGACAGTTATTCATCTTTGGATTTCATTTGTGTATAAATGTTTACTAAATTTAATTCAGGTACGTACAATACATGTGCATAAGACCACATTAGTTCAGGGGAAACAAGAAATGCCTTGATGTAACAAACTCACACCAATTTATTTGTAATATGTACAAGTTCTTAAAAATGTTTTTTCGTGACAAATAAAAAGGCTCCTTACCATAGAATGAATTGTTGAAGGTATTCTATTATTTCTTAATTTTAAGTGTTTGAATAAAAAAACACAGCAACTAAAATCATGTGATACCATCTAAAGCCAACAAAGTCAATACATCTGCAACAATCCTTATTACGCACAAGGCACGTTTATTGGTGTAGATATTTGCTGCAATCATTGATAGCAAACATATGGAGCAAGTCATATTCCAAAATTAGATTTGCTTAAATCCATCAATCTATGCACCGAACATTTTGTTGCATGGTATTATAGAAGCCAGCTGATATTGTTCCACTCATACCTTTATCATCTCGTTAAATTGGATTACCAGTTTAATTGGCATCACTTTATAAAAGTCATGAACAGAAAGGCAACACAAGCTTCATTTATGAAATGCAAACCCACTGTAAGCATTCTCGAATCTATATAATTTTGCACAACAGCAAATTCAAGCCATTTTATCGACCCTTTCATTAATTTTCTCGGTTTACTATAAGTGTATAACTCATAGCAACACAACTGCATACTCTCGTTGAACTCATTGTCTCTATGAGAGTTATTGTTCCCCCAGTACAAGACAGAGGTAATGCTTTATATGCTTGCAGCATTAAAAATAAAAAAACAGTTTGTAAAGCAACTATACAATGGTTTATTAAAGACATGAAAGCAGTTGTACTGAATTTAAATGTTGGGAATGGTCACCTTGTGATCATCATCTGTTTCAATGCCAACTTCCTCCTAAAAATAGGAAAAAATATATGAACATATTTTACAGTGAACATTGATATTGCTGTAGTTACAATCCAGTTTGGATTTATAAAACATCCACAGTGAGGGAAAAAAGTATTTGATCTGCTAATTTTTTACGTTTTCCCACTGACAAAGAAATGATCAGTCTATATTTTTAATGGTAGGTTTATTTGAACAGTGAGAGATAGAATAACAACAAAATCCAGAAAAACGCATGTCAAAAATGTTATAAATTGATTTGCATTTTAATGAGGGAAATAAGTATTTGACCCCTCTGCAAAACATGACTTAGTACTTGGTGGCAAAACCCTTGTTGACAATCACAGAGGTCAGACGTTTCTTATAGTTGGCCACCAGGTTTGCACACATCTCAGGAGGGATTTTGTCCCAATCCTCTTTGTAGATCTTCTCCAAGTCATTAAGGTTTCGAGGCTGACGTTTGCCAACTCGAACCTTCAGCTCCCTCCACAGATTTTCTATGGGATCAAGGTCTGGAGACTGGCTAGGCCACTCCAGGGCCTTAATGTGCTTCTTCTTGAGCCACTCCTTTGTTGCCATGGCCGTGTGTTTTGGATCATTGTCATGCTGGAATACCCATCCACGACCCATTTTCAATGCCCTGGCTGAGGGAAGGAGGTTCTCACCCAAGATTTGATGGTACATGGCCCCGTCCATCGTCCCTTTGATGCGGTGAAGTTGTCCTGTCCCCTTAGCAGAAAAACACCCCCAAAGCATAATGTTTCCACCTCCATGTTCGACGGTGGGGATGATGTTCTTGGGGTCATAGGCAGCATTCCTCCTCCTTCAAACATGGCGAGTTGAGTTGATGCCAAAGAGCTCCATTTTGGTCTCATCTGACCACAACACTTTCACCCAGTTGTCCTCTGAATCATTCAGATGTTCATTGGCAAACTTCAGACGGGCATGTATATGTACTTTCTTGAGCAGGGGGACCTTGCGGGCGCTGCAGGATTTCAGTCCTTCACGGCATAGTGTGTTACCAATTGTTTTCTTGGTAACTATGGTCCCAGCTGGCTTGAGATCACTGACAAGATCCTCCCATGTAGTTCTGGTCTGATTCCTCACCGTTCTCATGATCATTGCAACTCCACGAGGTGAAACCTTACATCGAGCCCCAGGCCGAGGGAGATTGACAGTTCTTTAGTGTTTCTTCCATTTGCGAATAATCGCACCAACTGTTGTCACCTTCTCACCAAGCTGCTTGGCAATGGACTTGTAGCCCATTCCAGCCTTGTGTAGGTCTACAATCTTGTCCCTGACATCCTTGGAGAGCTCTTTGGTCTTGGCCATGGTGGAGAGTTTGGAATCTGATTGATTGATTATTTCTGTGGACAGGTGTCTTTTATACAGGTAACAAGCTGAGATTATGAGCACTCCCTTTAAGAATGTGCTCCTAATCTCAGCTCGTTACCTGTACAAAAGACACCTGGGAGCCAGAAATCTTTCTGATTGAGAGGGGGTCAAATACTTATTTCCCTCATTAAAATGCAAATCAATTTATAACATTTTGACATGCGTTTTTCTGGATTTTTTGGTTGTTATTCTCTCACTGTTCAAATAACCCTACCATTCAAATTATAGACTGATCATTTCTGTCAGTGGGCAAACGTACAAAATCAGCAGTGGATCAAATACTTTTTTCCCTCACTGTACATGCAGTCCCATCTCTCAGTGATGTTCTATGTGTCAAATATCAGCTAGACACAGTATCTCAATCTTCAGTATGGTCATCATGGAAAGCATATAACCTACACATATCCTGAAGGTCTCAAGATGGGACGGCAAATATTTGGAGAAAAAAAACTGTCATTCTTTCGGCAAAGTAAAGAAATGTTTGCACTTACGTAAAAGTGTTTTTTTGTCTTAGGGTAGCCTTCCAAAACTGCATCAATCATATCTGTAGCCTGTAAAATAAGATTGACCAATATTTTACAACATATCTTGAAGGAATTGTACAATACCAAATTAAGTCCCAGTTCAATGTTACGTTGCTTTGGTAAATTAAACCACACCCAGCCGATGCATCAGCCATACCATTCTCTTTCTTCTTCTCCACTCCTTCACATATTGAACTCTATGTTTGTACACCTACAAAGGAACAAAAACTTCAATATTTTAAACAATACATCTTATTTATCAACAGAAGATTCTAGATCTAACGTAGCAGTCAGAACTTGCTTATACAACAGCACATACCGCATAAAATCCATCATAAATGTACCTCTTCCTTCTCCTCCGGCGTGACGACATTAGAAGAGTTTTTGATCGTGTTGAGCCGCTCCTCTAGTGCGGAGCAGTCTGCACGCAGCCGCTCTGTCTCCCCCTTTAGGTCTTCGGTGACCATGGAGTTAGTCAATCCTCGCAGTTCTACACACACACAGCCCATATTTACAACTCTTGCCTTGCTTCATGATGATCATGGACAGCAGGGTGGTGCAGTGGTATCACTTTTGCCTCACACCAAGGAGCTGGTTTAAATTCCTGACTCGGGTGGCTTTCTGTGTCGAGTTTATATGTTCGTTCCTTATTCTGCATGGATTTCCTCCGGGTTCTCTGGTTTCTTCCCAAAGCTAAAACCAAAAAAAGGCATTGGTGTTGAATACAATCCTAATGCTGAAAACAGCGTGGCTTTCTTGGGTGATTGATGAATGAATTAGTATGAGCTATGTGTAATCCATTGCTGGATGAAGGCCTCCCGAAGCTGCTGTGTTTCATATTGACATAAAACATTCTGATTCTTTACAGCATTAGAATGTGGGTACCTTACAAAACTATGTTTATTTCTAAAACTAAGGTTTTACTTTTAAGATTCACCTTGGCCAGGTCCCCATGTTGTATAAATCATCATCAGATCTCTTTCAGATGTACAATACCTGACAGTACGTATATGATTGGATACTACTATTCTCACACTTTAGTTTTCTTTAAACATACAGCAGCATATATTTGTGCATGCTGTCACAACTATTTCAAAGGCACCCCACGTATTTCAGATAAACACAGCAAGGTAACACATGCAATACTGGTCAAAAGAGGAACTCTTACTCTATATGAACCAAATTCTTTATGAAGCATAAGCAAATGTCAGATGATTTCCCCATCAGTTGCCATTCCATTTCATTGCCTTGGATTCATAATAATAATGCACAAGGTTAAATATTTGCCTGAAGTGCACGACTGTATATGTACCACACAAACCTGCACATTGTCAGGGAATACTCGGCAGTGCAGTGGGGCAATGGATCAGTATGCCTTACCTGTATCCAGCTCCTTGCAGACCTGCTGATTCTCCTTTATCCCTTGATTGAGCTCCACGATCTTCTGGTCCAGGTCCTTCAGTTCATTATCCGCAACTATTGGAAACTGGTCCTAAAAAAAATAATCAAACAACAGTTTGTCATAATTTTCAGCAATTTCCATAGACCACAAAAAAAAGTATTTGTTCAAGTACATTTTTCCAATTGATAATTTACGCGGGTATAAATTCTTACATCTCTAATCTGCTAAAATGCGTTAAGGAAATGTCTTAAATGCCAACTTTGTGTGAGGAAAAAAGTGTTGGTTTTTCACCTGGTTGGCAAAGTAAATCTTCTGCTTTCCATAAACCTTCTCTTTGATCTGCCCTTCCTGAGCAAGTTGGTCCAGGGCTTTTACCACAGCCTGTGTGAACAATTACAGGACACCAGGCATAAACAGATATACTGAAAAAAAGCGAGCATGCACTTTGAAAGAAAATTTGTAAACGGTCGGTTTGTGAGAATATTTATTTTCCTATTCATCGATTTTGAAAAAAAAACGTGCACATGTCAAATGCTCACCGTCTTTCCGAAGGCATGTTGCTTGTTCAGGTTTCCCTGTATATCTTGAGCACTGTATGGGCGATTCTGGTGATTCAGGTAATTTAAAATCACTCCAGGGGCTGATAAGACAGAAAAAAATGCCATCTCACATTAAACATTTCGATTTCAAGCTTTCGTGACTGCAATGATTCATTAAACATGTTATATTTCGGTCTATCAATGTACCAGAAACGTGTACATTTAAGGGTTAAATGCCACACAGACTGCTGCTGTTACCGTCAGGATTTATGCAAGGTCAACCTGTCTAAGCCACGTAAGCGCGTCTGCTCTAACGTCAACAAGATTGAAAATATTCAGGCTCTCCGCGTGGACGAGGCTGAAACAGGAGCCACACTTCGCAACATTTTGTCCTCCTGAGCAGAGCTCAAGTCACGGCCACGATAAACTCTGGTCCCCAGTTCCCTCGCTACAGAGTGGTGTTGGTGGAACAGAGAGGGCCCAGGGTGACACTCGCCTGTCGCGTCCTTCGCCTTGCTCATGGTGGTGACCGGGTCCTTGCTCACCTGCAGCAGCGCAGAGAACCAGACACCTCAGTCGAATCACCCAGACCTGTTCGGTCAGCTAACTCACTCACTCAGACAGCCCAGTCACTTAGCGAGTCACTCACCAGACCGCCTAATCACTCACCATGCATTGCCATTCATCAGGCAGCCAAGTCAGTCTCCAGACAGCTCAGTCACTCACTCACGACTACGTCGTTACCCAACGGGTCGCTCACCTGAATCACTGACTAGGTAGTCACCTGAATCAGTGACTAGGTAGTCTCTGATTCAGGTAGTCACTGGACACTCACCAGGCAGCCGAGTCGCTCACCAAGCGCGTTGTCTGTTACACAGTGCTGTACAGTTATCTACGTTACACTGAGTTAATTATTGTAACACAAGTTGTTAGGTTGTGTGCGTATTCGTAGGGCGCTAGGAGTTAGTGTGCGAGCGTTGGTGGCTGTTGGTGACTGTGTCAGTGGCTGTGTCAGTGACTGTGTTAGTGACTGTGGCTGTATCAGTGACTGTATCAGTGACTGTGTCAGTGACTGTGGATGACTGTATCAGTGGCTGTATCAGTGACTGTGGCAGTGACTGTGGCAGTGACTGTGTCAGTGACTGTATCAGTGGCTGTATCAGTGACTGTGGCAGTGAGGTGGCAGTGACTGTGTCAGTGACTGTGTCGTTGTATCGGCAAGTGCTCAATCTGTTGAACTGTGGCGCCGCTCTCTTCCTTCTAAATTGGCGCGAAACCCGACCACGTGACCAGAGAATCAGTCACGTGACTCTCCCGGCGAGCGAGAGGGGTTGGTGATGAGGGGCGGGGAGAAGGGCGGGGTTAGGGGGTAAGGGGCGGTGTTGTGGGCGGGGTTAGGGGGTGAGGGGCGGGGTGAGGGACAGGGTGTGGATTGGGGAGAGGGGGTGTGGGCTTGGGTGTCGGTTGGGGTGAGGGGCGGGGTTGGGGGGTGAGGGGCGGGGTGAGGGGAGGGGTGTGGATTGGGGTGTCGGTTGGGGTGAAGGGCGGGGTGAGGGTGCGAGGGGCGGGGTGAGGGTGTGAGGGGCGGGGTTGGGGGGTGAGGGGCGGGGTGAGGGACGGGGTGTGGATTGGGGTGTCGGTTGGGGTCAGGGTGTGAGGGGCGGGGTGAGGGTGTGAGGGGCGGGGTGAGGGGGTGAGGGGCGGGGTAGGGGGTGAGGGGCTGGGTGAGGGGGGGGATGTGGGTTGGGGTGAGGGTGCGAGGGGCGGGGTGCTAGGGGCGGGGTGAGGGTGCGAGGGGCGGGGTGAGGGTGCGAGGGGCGGGGTGAGGGTGCGAGGGGCGGGGTGAGAGGGGCGGGGTGAGGGGGTGAGGGGCGGGGTGAGGGTGGATGTGTTCACATCTCACACTAATTAAACGACATGTACTGGACACGCAATGCATTTATAAACCCATCAACAGTATTTAATGTTTAACTAAAATGTTTGTGGTGCGGGTGTCGAGCTGGCCCCGTTGTAAATTCATCCAGCACGTGCATCACACACGCGATCATCATCCACTGCTCCACGCTCATCCGTCGTTTAGTTGACTTTTGATGGCATTTCTTTCAAACGGGGCCCGTATGAAAAGCAAATCAAGCCGGTTGTATAACACGGCTCATCTGTGTACTGGACATCTGTGGAAAAGAGCTTCATAGGTCATCGGATTCCTCCAGTATATTCTGATTGCAACGCACCGACGTCTGGACCAACACAAGTTTCTGTAGACGTTGTCAGGTAATGCGAATATTGTCATAAAGGCAGTTAAACCAGTATTAAACACTTTATTTGAGTTTGAGAATATATTTTTTTACTGTAGAAATCCAATGAGCTATAAAGCTCCTTTCCACAGATGTCCTGACAGTCAAATTTACTCACCAGACGCTGTCACTCATCAGATAGCCGAGTCACTCATTGTCAATACTTGTACTTCATCATTATTATATTAATTCTTGTACTGTTAAAGTCCCTATTGGATTTTTATATCTCTAAAATGTGCTGCTGTCGCACGTTTGGGGGAGTGGTGGTGGTGACCATGCACGTGGCCTGTATTGGGATAGAGTGTTGCCCCCTTGCACGCGTGGGGGTTTTCTTCGAGTGTACCAACATCGTTAATTGGCCGATAACACCTTCATGTTGAAGAGGACGGCCGAGCTTGGGCAATATTCTTGGTGCCGGCCGACCGCATGGTTGCTGTCTACCTGTCGGATCCTCTTCCCGCCTCTTAAGTCTTCTCTCTTCCGAGAGCAAGCGAATAATGTCCGGAATTATTACCACACCCGACCGCCTTTGTTTCTTCATTGCTGGTGTTCACCCACCTCACCAGGTCACGCCTCATTCAATCGTGTTCGCACGCTAACGGCCCTGCGTATCTTAACAGGAGGAAATTCCGCATTCCTATGGCAGAGGCCAGTCCATCCAACCACGGATGACGTTTCACAAAGCGATTTTCATGTGTATCGACCCCGGTGGGATGACGGGCCGGCTCAACCCCGACGACTCTTTGTCACAAAATAAGCATGTGTCCTAGGTGAAAGGGCTTATCGTACGCCTAACTAAATAAGCGTATGGTTTTGCGACGGTCTTTACCTCTAAACAGCTGATGAGCATTGGTGCAAGCGAGCCGAACTGCTGCTGAGATAACACGAATATCAAAGCCGGTCCAGAGTTTGCTTGCACGGAATCAAAGCTGCTGAAAAAAATTCCCTCCCAGAAAGAAGGCCGTGTAGCTGATGGGATGTGTAAAGATACTTAAATTTTAATGTGGAGACACAACTATGCTATGATAAAGGACCATTGCCCGAAACGTCGTGTAATGCATGTTTCCTTTTTTTGAGGAAGTCTTGGCTAATGTGGTGGGGATTTTTTTTTACATGGGAAGGAGGGGGCGTAGTGTCTACTCAATTACTCTGCCCATATTAGTGTGTAGGTGTTTGCACACAAAAGCGAACATTGACACCCAAGCCCCGCTGTGGGGTGGCGGGGATCGTGGTCTCGTCCCGGCACCCCCCTGGGAGACTCCACGCAGATTAATCCCAACCCAGACTGAGCGGCGCCCAACGCAACAGCTGTGGCAGCCACGGCCACTTCACGCCGAGGGGATGAGGGAGACTCAGACACGAGGTGTGAAGACCAGGGCAAGGCGCCCATCTGCCCTGTCCAGATGCCCCCGCCGGGCAAACCCAGTGGGGTAGTGATAATTAACTCCTGATGAGAGCTTTAAGCCATCTCTGATTTGCGTGGAAAGTTTGTCCTTTATCTGCGTGATGGGCCACTGCTGTTAAAGTGGATGGGAAACGCTTACAAACATTACACAGGTGACTAATGCAGTAATATAGTAAGACCAACGTGTGCATTGTTTTGATACAAGGCCGTAGCCATGGGGTAAAAATTTGGGGGGGGGGGGGCACATCTTCCAGGGGGTCTAGGGCACCCCCCCCCCAGAAAGAAATCTGCCACCCTTCCTCTTGCTCATGATGACACTCACTCTGAATGAAAGCTGACTGTAATAAAACTGCTTGCACTTTAATCAAAGAAACACTAATAATGCTATGTATCATAAGCAATAAATGAAAGCTACTACAAATATAACACATGCAGCGCAACATAAAGGATTGACACTTTACTCAGACTTCACGTGGGCTTTCTGACAAATATAACGTAATAAAGACATTCACGTTAGTTGAATACGCCCGTGAGCGCCACTGTTGGTCGCTGGGTGAATGTGTGGCTAATTAACTTTCCAAGTAACTTTTCAAATGGTTGATTGATTAGTAAATCGCAAATCGGCCCGTTTTCACCAAAAACTTTGTTTCCACTCGACAGTGAGACAGCCTACGTAACACTCATATTACATTCTAGTTTTCCACTTTTTAATACATTTGAAAGGAATGAAATGAAGAGACAGGGCAGGGTTTCACATTGATTGCACCTACCCACAGCAGTCGAGCAACGGCTGCTGCTGGGATACGGCAACACGACTTGGACAAACCACACGCAGAACTGCAGTACACCGTAATACTAGAATCGGTAGTAATAATAATGGCAATTTGTTAAGTTTAGTTATGATTATGATTACATTTGCTAATGGTAATTTCGGACGGCGGTGCGTGGTTGCCTGTCGTAGCATAGCAATTATTATTTTTTCAATATTTTTCATATCAATATATTGGGGGGGACATTTTGAGCATATTTGAATATTGGGGGGGATATGTTCCCCCCAATATAAAAATATATCCCCCCCAATATATACATTATAATCACGGCCTTGTTTTAATATAAAGCGATTAGAAACACTAGACGTAGCAATAAGTACACAGGAGCCAATCACGATAGAGCAAAACACTTTATAATTAACTAACAATGTACGGCACTCATAGACATTTCGTAATGCATGTTTTCCTTTCAAACATACCTTCTGTAATTTTCTCAATCGGGCTGGCCACATAAAACACATTATTCTGTTATAAATAACAAAATACCGGACACTTTGACTGAAAGTGCTATACGCTATCAGCCAACGATCTCTCTCACGGTAAAAACTCAGAAACAACAATTTCAGAAAATGTTATCAATGTGAACAAGCAAAAAGGAGACTAAATTTGTGCTACATATTTACATGGGTCATTGTGGCTAAAAAGTTTAACAATGTGGTTGCTTAGCACTGAACATGGGCATCTGACCCAGAATACATAAAACGTTGGCCCAACTTTGGTCCAAAGGTTCCAAATACTGTACATTCCAACGCTGGGATGTTTACCGGGGAGTTAGATTCCTGAACCATGGCTAACATCAGTGGATAGTGATATCGAAACCGATCCGGCACCCCTTCACCAATCTGCACTAACCAGTGCGGTGGAGTTATGGTCAAACAACCGCAACGACTGACACGACGAGGGAAGGCCTTTTTCCAGCAGTTGATAGATACAGGAAATACTGTAAGCTTTAAAAGAAATACTGTAGCGTTTTAGAAGTTTAAAATGTACAAATTATATTTTTTTAAAGTATGTAATACTTCAGGTGCAGTCGATTTATGCGTGGAGCATGGAGAAGGGTTGCATGGTTGTTCCTTCCCAGCCCTTGACGTACCTGTGGAAAAATAATACACACAAGTACAGGAATGCGACGTTAGTATTACTTCAAATCGAGGATATTTGCTGATCATTGTCACTGTGCAGAAAAAATGCCCACTGGAGAAATTAAAGAACAGCAATTTACGATTACAGTACATATCACATTTCTTCTATTGGCCATATTTCAACAAAAGTTGCTGTGTTGCAATTCACTACTAATTTTTGTATGCACAGATTGCGAATCTATTACGATTTTCACAAATGAATTGCTGTATATACTATTTAAGAGTGCATAATGCGTTTAACCTTTGTTAAGCATCATCAACTGTTGCACCGCAAAGGCAGACTTGTTTCAAATAAATGAGACCAAAGTATCTCTCAAGGAAGTCCTCTCTTGCCAAAGCAAGAATACAAAATAAAAACATACTTTAACACATTCCAAGGACATGCAGCCAGCTTTCACGAGCATGGAGTAGAATACAAGATATGTTATCCTTACCGGGGACTGTATTGCTCGAGTGGCGATTCAGACTTGTTTGGGGATGAGTGCGACCATGTCTCCTCGCTGTCAGATGCCCACCGTGGGTCAGGATCACAGTACACGTGCGAACAGCTATTCCACGAGGGTTCCTGTTTGCATACAACACCCCTCTCTTCCTCCGCCGCTGCTCCATGCGAGACCCACTTTGCAAGAGGCAGTGGCTGGGAGGCGAGCAGAGTCTGTGAAGCGTGCCACTGTCCCAATGTCCCCACTGCGGGGTGAACCACATCTTCTTCCCACTTCCAACTGCTGCCCGGAGACCGGTCGTGCAGGAGGGACGGAGGCTCGGAGCAGCTTTGCGCCAAGCCGTCTTTGACCTCCTGCGATCCGGCGGCCTCCCCGGTTCCGTGCTGCAGTAGGCGCGATAGCTGCGCTATGTAGCGGATGGTGAGTCGGAGCGTCTGGATTTTGCTGAGTGGACGACCGACGGCCGCCAGGTGCGGGGGCAGGATGCCCTGCAGTGCCCGCAGTGCCCGGGTCAGTTTGCGCATCCGCAGCTTCTCGCGCTCGTTCTTGCGTGCCCGCCTTACTCCCACCCGCTGGTTGGGTTGGTTTTCTCTGAAAACGTTGTTTTTTTTTAAAATAAAAAAAACACATGACCGTCGGTTATTTGCAGTCGGTGCAAAGTGACAGCACTTGAAGTGTTTTGATTAAAATAATGCAATTCAGCAGGTGAAACTATAAAAAAAAATAAGCCTGTGTACTGCTGAAGCATCATTTTATTTCAAACATTTAAAATGTATAGCACAACATATGAATAAATGAGACGTAGTTATTGTTTGCACTGAGACAATATGAACATTGTGCCACGTGCACAGACTGTGAACATGCAAGCCGTGGACAAGACAATGCAATTGGCATACGTCGGAATTTTTGATTTCTTAAAGTTTCATGAAAATTCAAGACAACTGCAGAATATTGCCATTTGTTTTCCTGAATATAAAACGACGTTTTTTAAAGTTTACACAGTTGTGCGCTGAAATAATGTGCAATAAAGATACGGTGTGGAGTATAAATGAAACATATGGCACCGGAAAAGCAGATGTGCAGTAAATAAATCCACAAACAAAGTATAATGTACGTATATTAACACTACTGTACTTTCTTAACATTGCAGTACTCCATCAAATCGGCTAAAAAAGCACGTGCTATGTTACATGGTTCTTTCGGTAAAGTCACGTAGATAGAAAAAATAATACCAATTAAATAATAAAAATAAAGTGACTAAAACAATAATACAAATATCACGAAATTTCGATCGCAACACAAGCGGTCGTCATCCAGATCCAGATGACGACCGCTTGTTTTATTATTTTTTCTATCTACGTGACTTTACCGAAAGAACCATAGAATACGAATTCCTGCAGTCACGAAAGTTTCAAAGAGAGACATACCGTCTGGTCGGAGCAAGTGGACATGCCGTCTGAAAAGCATCCTCCCTTATGTCCAGGAACTCACAGCTTGCCTCCATGCTTCCGTGATAATTTCTGTTGATGAAAAAACAAACAATCGTCAAACAAAAGGGTTCATAAAAGTGCATTTGTTTTATGATATATGGTTTAAGATAAATATCAAACGCCCTTTAGTTATACCACAATTGAACAGACAGCATTTAGAATTCATTGGTGAAAAGCCTCTTTGCAATTTTTAAACAAACCCTCAAAAGTTTTACTTACCTATGTTGATGTGGACCTAAGTCTTAACAACAGGTATTTGCTTTTCTTTACAATTTTTACTTTAATAGAATTCACAATGGGGCCAACCCGATAGCAGGAACATAAGGTAATGGACAAAATTGAAGACAGAACCACTCTGATGAGTCTTGCGCTGTAGTCCACGTTTATATGCAGTTGAGTTTGAGGGCTGGTGAAGGATTGGGAGGGTGAGTGAGGGGGACTTCCCAGCATGCCCTGCTGCAGCACATCAAAGCCACTTCTCTGCATGGTGTGAAATTGCCACTTAGCAGATGTCTGAGACACCAAAGTTCAATCGAAGCTGCAATGTGAAGGACAAAATAAATACACCCACAGTGAAATTTACTTAAGCAGGTTTAGTGACTGCAAATTATAAGAGACTCGTTAGATCATAACACGTAACATCTTAATTATAACAATATAACTGGTTATAAAAATATGCATAGACAATTGCCCTGGCAATGTTGATCTCTGTGCATACAGAATGTTAATTTAAGCGTTTATCGTCGGTGGCTCATTATAGCCCAAACTTGTACGGTTTGCAGTAATCTACCGTGTAACACATGCAAGCACGCATACAAGAAGCACAATGTTCCCTCTTCCCTGCGTGCCAGCTCTATATCTCAAATTGCAATTGCATGAGTAAGACAGATGTACAATTCCTCATACAATATCTAATTCTCCTTTATCTAACACACGTCTCTTCGAATTATACTGGAGTAATAAATGGACGCCAAGCTTCACGAATATTCCATCACTCTGACTTCATTAAGTGAAGCGTTTACAGTGACAACAGCAGTCACCAACGGGTTTACAATTTGTTGATATTAACTTTTTCCTGTGGTGAGCATCCACCCAAGTTCCGTTTAAGCCTGACAGACGCGTGTTCATTACCACATAACACACAGGTCATGGCACCGGTTTGTGCTGTACCGTAGGTTTTCCCAAGCAGGCCGGTGCCTAGCATGCTGTGTCTGTTGCTGCCCCGTCTGTCACCACCAGCATGGCGTGACTGTCAGGGTCCACTTCAAACAAGCCCACTTCCCCATGGCACTGGTGTCTGACACCTAAAGTTTGCACACCATACTAAGTGATGTTTTAAGTTTCACGCTCTCCCACTACCTTCTATCTATTGGGAACTTTCAATTGCAAACGTGGGGTTATTTACAATGCTAAATTATTAGATTTTTTTCTTCCTTTTTTATAAAGGCTGTTGATGGGGTTTTTATGCTGAACAGTGGGTATCCAATGGAATTTTGAAATGACTGCAGTCACCTTAAACATTTTGTAGGTTTACAAAGGCAATTCTGGCCTCGGTTCAGAATGAGCCATGGCACCAGAAAGAATGCTGCTGCCCTTTGCAGGGTAATGTGGTCATCATTTACAGTCTTGAGGTCCTCTTTATAAAAAGTAAGCCATTGTGTGTTGTCAGAGGATAACTAGTCAAGCGAGGAAAACACAAGCTATTTCTCTAAACACAAAACGAGGAATTATACAATGCAGTTTGGATTTATATATCGTCTAAATGCTACCACATTTACACACAATATAAAGATTGGGCATATTTATTGTTATAGATGTACATAAACAGTGGACATGTTTATTTATAGAGAGAGAGTCAGGCAGGGGAAAAAAAGGTCTTGAGCCTGGACTTGAGCAGGGCCAGGGAGTCAACAGCACGGATGGTTAGTGGAAGAGAATTCCAGGCCGTGCCAGTAGCATTGGAGAATGAGAGGCCTCATGTATGCATGTTGAACTTCTTTCACACCGTATGTAGCCAACCGTGTTGGTTAACTGAGGGCTTTAACAGAACGCCTTGGTTGCTTGAGTGTTCATTTTACTATCTGGTTTTCAGAATATTTTAACTTTACTTTGCATACAAAAACACATAATCGCGTCCCTTAATTGTTATTGTAACTTTCACTACCCATATTATACATTAAAAAAGCAAGGCGGTAGCCATGGATTCAACATTGGGGGAGACCAAATCTTCCAGGGGGTCTGAGGGTCCCCCCCCAGAAAAAATCTAAATTTGAAAACTAATTTCCTGCCTATAATATTAAAAAAATTCACTAACACATGGGATGGATTTTTTATTTCTTTTTTTACAATAATGTCCAATAGTGTATTGTATTACATTGCTGTTTTTTTAACCTTTTCTTGTTTCATTGTGTGTAATGGCAGAGATTAGGGATTAATAAAGTACAACCATAACCACAATAATATAAACAGAAATCTATTTTATAGCAATACTACCCGGCTTCGCCCGGGACATGGATTCACCACACCCGGCCGCCTTTGTCTCCCCAGTGGCGATGTTCACACCACAACAGTTACTCGTTTGAGGCTGAGTCGACCTAGGGGAGGCCCAGGACCGGTTAAAATTATCGTCACCAGTGGGGGCCGTGAGCAGGAATCGAACTCGGGTCGCCGGGTTCGTAGTGCAGCGCGCTAACCACTACACTACAATGCGTTACGCTTTCACATGCGAGAGTCACGTGACAGATTTGACGTGACAGCTCACTTGCCGTGCAAATAATATACACATTATTGAGCCCCACCCCCCCCCTAAAAAAATATATACCAAAGTGTATTTTTATAATTTTTGCATGGTGTACAGTCTGGAAAGTACCCACATGGCAAATTTGCAGTTTGTTGCATGTCGGGAAGTACGATAAACATTTTGAACAGACACACATTCACAACTTTGCCTTTTATATATATATGGAGATATTGGGGGGGAGGGGGCATTTTGAGCATATTTGAATATTGGGGGGGATTTGTCCCCCACAATATATTATAATTACGGCTTTGTAAAAAAGACTCAATATTATTATTTTAATTTCAATAAGTATATCTTGATCCAATAGAGAACCTTTTAAAGTTATAAGCACACGGTGGGGTCTCAGCTCATCAGCTGTGGTATCTCTAACGATCATTCACACCCTGCATGCCATCTCATTAGCTTATTCCTCAGAAGAAGTCTGGTGTGAACATAAGTGAAGAGCCTTGTGAAGTGAAGAGCCTTGCCTTCGTCTCGTTGTCTATCAGCTACTGATTTCTTTCCTGACTGCTAAGCATCTTAAGATGACTTGTACAATGTGTTTCTCTGTCACATACATAATCTATAGTGTAGTATACTAAAGCCTAATGTTATGATTTACAAATAAATTGAATGTATTACAATTATATCCATGTGCAGTGTTTTATTCAAATTTTAATGGATCGTAGAATAATTAATGTGACCATACACCAGACAACTGGGATATTGAGCAGTTACACAGTTATGGCATTAACAATTTAAATTGACTGGAAATAGCATCTAAAGAAACTGCATCTCATGACACTTGACAAGTGTGGAGGCTACCTTAGTGAGTGAGGACTGTGGTGATCGGGGTGTAGAGCAGGCCGGGGAAATGTGAAAGAAGAGTGAAACTCCAGAGTACAGTCACGAAGTAAGAAACTGAAGGCCAGAACCAAGAAAGTCCCAAGGCAACCTCAGGATGGCCAGTGCCTCTCACAAACTAGTGTAGTCCTCGGGCAGTCTCAGCATATTAAATGTATACAGACTCTACATTGTTTTATTGTAGTTCTATAATCTCTACTTCCAATATGTCCATTCAGTGACTGGTAAAAACTGTAATTTATAATGTATTTAATTGTAATACTGTAGATTAATTTCCAGCTCTTGTTAATCCACTGCAGGGTGAACACCCTTTCCATGTCATCATGGTCATGGGGGTTGTTTGACCATATTTTACCATGCTGGTTCATGTGAGTTGTTGAGAGCGGAGGCCGTTGACTGCTTCAGATATCACTCCCCACTAGTGTTAACTGTGGTTGGGAATCAAACTTGGGTAAACCATGTTGAGAGCTCAGTATGCTAAAATAAAATAAACATTAAGGGTGGGGCAAATAGGATGATACAATTAAACAAACTAGCAATACCCTACATTATTCAAGTACCCTATATACCATGCAATGTCATATCAACATGTGGAGTTTGTTAGTGTCGAGAATGTTTTAGGGAGTTATATAATCCAAGAGAGAAACATAAAATATAGCTGAACACAAGTAGCATTAGCTATGGCTTTTTACACCCTTTTATGTCAACAAAAACAAAACACTGTGTGTAGAGAAACTTTGATTTTTGAGACCTGGTTTAGGTTTAACTTGCTTTTTAATGGTGTGAATCTGGAAACCAACACTGCCAAATACCACAGGCTTCTGAAGGAGGTGTGATTAAACAACTGTGTGCTAATGAACCCACTTTCTTATTATCCAAGGAAGTGGCAAGATGCTAACATGAAAGACGTAGTAATGGGGCTAACAATGTTTTGCCTGTAATTATGTTTTCTATTATTAATAACAAATAGAATTTGTCAGTTTAACACGTAGGCTTTCGCGACCAATATTATTCATAATAAAGGTTTTTGGGTTAGATCGCGTTTATTTATAAATGTGTCGTAACCCTCCACCACCCGACACGGCCAATCAGCAAAAAAAGTGTCACGTTGACGTAGTAGTGAATTATTTGTCTTTTGTCAACGTGACACTTTTTTTGCTGATTGGCCGTGTCGGGTGGTGGAGGGTTACGACACATTTATAAATAAACGCGATCTAACCCAAAAACCTTTATTATGAAATAGAATTTGTTTTCATAATCGTAAGCAAATATGGATATATAAATATTTAGGACCGGAAACTGGGAATTTACAATGGCAATGAGCGTTGTCCACATCACACAGACTGTGAAGGGCCTACATAGTAAATTGAACGAGCCAAGTGATGCCCCCCGATTGTATTGATCAAAAACAAAACATTGTGCAGTAGAAAATACTTATTAGGTCATATACAACAAATGTTGTACATAAAATGTACATTTAAACCACTGACTAACCAAAGCCATCAATAAGATGCCATTGTGTGCTGCAGTTAATTACAGGCCTCCTGATGTTTAGTGTTGATGGTTGTAGAGGACTTGTTATTGCAAGCACTCACGGATTTGTCCACAACTGCTTACAATCAGGTCCCCTCATGTTGATTGAAATTGAAAAAAATTACGGTTTCACAACATGCTCTTTTATTAAAAAAAAAAATTGGATACTCAATAAAATACTTAGCATTAAGAAACCACTTAAAAGTCAATACTTTGAAAAAAGTGTTATATCAACATCGTCAACAGTTGAATCTCATTAACATTCACAGAAATAAGGAAATATTACAATTCTTATTATGCATGAACCCAGCTCATCTATTACTGTATAAGTTTTAAATCATTGATAATATGACGTGTTGTACCTTTTATTTTTATAAAACTGAAAGAAGTATTCAAACAGACTATCAAGAATGCAATTTTTTTAAAAATAAAGTAGTGCATTGCATATACAGTCATTTGCTAAAGTGTATGGACAATTTTTACATATGAGCAAGGCAATTACCATTTAAAGATTTTAATATACAATACTGTCTCCATCTCTACATAAGTAAATACCTACATTAAATTAAATTAAATCACGACGTTTCGATTGCAACACAAGCAATCATCATCAGGTGGGAAAACCACAGCAAGAAAATTGCTGTGGTTTTCCCACCTGATGATTGCTTTGTTGCAATCGAAACGTCGTGATTTAATTTAATTTATTTTCAACCTACGTGACTTTACCGAAAGAACCAAAGAGTATGGATTCCTGCAGTCACGAAAACTTCAAATCTAGATAAATACCTATTTATTTATATTATTTTTGCGAGTAACATTACTACTTAACATACTCTACAAATAATATACAAATACGACCACGATTAATATTGGACATAAGCGATATCAATGTATCTTCATTGAAGCAGGGGCTTCACATTACACAGGTGTGGCACAATAATTACACAGGTGTATATGTGGCACAATAATTACACAGGTGTATATGTGGCACAATAATTACACAGGTGTATATGTGGCACAATAATTACAGGTGTAAGTCATGCAATTCAGTGTTCAAACCTGGAAAATGTGTGTACATTGATGACAGCCCACTTCATATTAATGCATGTTTTTATACTTTATGCCAAGTTTCCGCAGGAAGGGACGATGTTACTCTGTAATGCCAGTTGATCAAAGCCATCGTGGATGAGCAGCACCTCTAATGGAGCCATATCGATAACGATGTAAAAAAGAAAACGCATACACTGCCTTATTACTGTACTGTAAATAGTGCTACTATATTTATTATGTGCAGGGATGTGCCTAAGCAAATAAAATGAAGTGTAATCATAACGCACAAGCCCATTTCGTGTGCATTAAAGCACCAGGTATGTACTGTATTTTCCGTTTTACAGAGTTAAAGTGCACTGCCTGTTCTCTAAGTACTGAAGAGAACACAAGGACATAATTTCAATGAAGGGCTGTGCAGTGAAGATTGTGAATACAAATGAAACCAGTTTAATCTATTATATAATTACAATACCCCCTCCTCTGCCTCTGATTTCTGCACCTAATGGGTTCAGTGACGACGTCGTCTTGCTGCTCTATGTAAGACCGGAAGCAGGTGGATGGCTTCACTATTCTGGCAAATCGCCCGATGATGCTGGATGTAATTACCAGTGAAACATCGTACTCAAATTGTGAATATTATGGATTTACTCTCTAAACACACCGGTGGGCTGAAGTAGTAACTAATTGGCGCGTTTTGTTTACGTGACAAATCCCTTACTGATTGGCTGTCGGGTGGTGGAGGGTTACGACACATTTTTACTTACGCGATCTAACCCAAAAACCTTTAGTATGAACAAATGAAACTCTTTAGTGGCTAGTATTGCAACTGCTGAATATGAAGTATTATTCCTTAAATTAAGGCACTAGTCAGAGAAAGCTTGGCCATAGCTGACGATATAAGGTCATTTTTAAGTGCACCCAATCGTGTGGGGATGAACGTGACCTAGCACATTCTCACGTAGGCTGCTCAACATGTGATGGTGCTCATTACTGTGTGCTGGTATATTTTCAATCTGGCTACGGTATGCAGATTTCACACCACGAAATTTACATTTTCATCCATGGCGAGAATGGAAAGTCAGATACACTGGAAAATACCACACCACATCCGGACCCATCACAGCTTAAGTTGCAGTGGCAGAGTCAGGGTTTTTTCTCTCTTACTATAATGCACAGCAAAAGCTATGGCAAGGACTGCGATTAGTGATTGTACAACTCAACATTTAAGAAGTAAGACATATCCTATATAAGGTACTAGCGGGCAGCCCATCATTACAACTTGGTTCAACCAGGTTTTGTCTCTTTTATGCTGAATTGCACATGCAATATATATGGAAGCAGGTTTATCTGGGTGTTTATTTGATTAATAATGGATCAAATTTTGAGAATGATTATACAACTGAAAAATGTTTTAAAAATTATATGCTGTATTTGCACATTTTCAATAATATTGAACAGTTATAGTCTTTTTGATTTAAAGCTTTCGTGACTGCAGGGATTCATATTCTTGGTTCTTTCGGCAAAGTCATGTAGAAGGGCAACAATATTGTTTCATATTTTTATTATTTTATTGTTTCCCTTTTACGTGACTTTACCGAAGCAACCAAGAATATAGTTATAGTCTTTTATAAACTAAAATTTGGTTTTCCAGAAGCACCCTAGCCTGTTCTCGTCCACCGATGAGCAAAACAAAAGTAACGTACAAGGTCGTAAGACAATGTAAGATATTTGTTGGAGTGACACAGCTGGATAACATATCGGGGGATGTAAGCCCAGGGGTCATTGGAGGTGGCCCGGGAACACATTGATGAATGAAGAGGCAGGCAATAAAAAGTCGGACGGAGTGCTTTCAGAAAATGTAATTTTATAATGAAAATAAATCACAGCAAGATGCTCAAAAAAGAAATATCTTCATGTAACACAAATGAATACAAGTCAATAAGAAAGTACATAAAAAAGAACACGTTCACTGTGTAGTGTTGTTTTATCTGAGCAGGTGAGACAAGAATCCCGTGGATGCATTTCCTGGAGAGACCGTGTTAGATTGACTTTGGTTCAGTATGGCCATTTCCACCTCCATTTGCTGTAGCTCCTCCTGTTGCAGAACTTCAAAACCTTCAGCGTTGTCCTCCTCATCTGTCTCACAGGTCTGCGTTGACGCTTTGTCCACCTTTGACTCGGAGAGGGTGATCTGCTGGGGGATGCTGTGGGTATCTGTAGACTCCTCAGCAGAGCTGGGTAGCTGCTCCGGGTCTGCAGCAGGACTACATGATGGTGGAGCCTCCTCCAGGGCGGAGGACAGAAGTTCAGAGAGGTCAGGTGCAGTGGACAGCAGCAGAGAATCTTCAACGCTAAGGTGTGAGTGTTCATGTCTGCTGAATGCCTCTGTGCTTGTGACACAGTAGCTGTCATTTTCCTTGGCTGCAGCCCCTATCTCTGACCCATCGACGTAATGCTGCATTTCTGACACTCCCTCCATAGTGGAACCTGTGTAATTAGATGGCAAAGGAATGTTGGGGATTAATTCAGTTATCTCAGCATAGTGGATGATGCATCCTTCGGAGATAATGGGTCCATATTTGCTCACATCGCTCTTTATATTCGGTGAAGAGCCTGAAAGTTGGGAATTGTTTATCATTTGGCCATTAGCCTCATCCATATTAGTAAGTGGAGCTTCTGCAGGATTAAAAACATTTCCCGACTGCTCACCAGTAAGACTCAGTGGAGAAACAAGCGACATGGTAGCCAAGTCTGACGTTGTGTAGTTATCTTGGTCAGTATAACAGACATTGGTGTAAATGCTATATTCAAAACTTGGCACAGAACCAACTCTGTCCCTATTCAAACTGCATACTGCCTCTCTCTTGGTATCCTTTTCTGTAGCATGTTTGTGGGGTTTCAGCTTACAGGGATCATGAGGTAGTTTTTCTTGACTGGCTTTCAAAGTATTTTTAAAAACTAATTCTATTGCCGCTTTTTTATGTTGTTCCTCTCCAACAAAAGTATCTGGTTTTCTTATTTCCGTGCAGATTATTTGATTGGCTTCTTTGAATGGATCTTCTGAATTCGGCTGCTGCTCTTGTTTAACCTCTGAGCTGGATTCCTTAGTGGACGTTGAATCTTCAAATGTAGCACCTTCCTGGAAAAGTAAAGACTCAACATGTATTCATTGATATTTTAATTGATCATTATTTTTTCACAGATTAAAAAAAAAATCTTCAACTATTTTCGAAAGCAAAAATATACGTGCATTTAAATGCATAAACTATACAGTCTTCATTTAATAATTTAATCTATAAAACAACATATTTTTAATCTTCAAGTCACCCATAAGCAATATAAAGTCACAAATACAATTACTGTGTTATATTTTATGAATACAGGACTGTGTAAAGTTGATTATATTAGGGAAATACTATGCAAACATGTACACCTGCATTTGATTTTAAAATGTAATATGTGCTGGGTTAGTGTGGTGCAGTTCCTCCTGCTGGAAATGTATTGGTGTAAAACATCCACCGTAAAACTATTTCCTGTAAAATATATGAGCGTTTACATATTTTTTTTATACTACAATATGCTCATCATATAAACAAAGGAAAGGAAAGTTACCTTAGCGGGCACGTCACAGTTGAAGTCAATGTATAAAAATGTTGTTAGATAATTCCCTGGACGTGAAAGGATGTTTTTGCCAAACAAACTACATGGGTCTCTGTGCGCGGTGCCTTGGGTGGTACCTGTGAGTGGGTGGTTTCTTTGACTGCACCATCTTCGGTTGCCGTGAGTGTGCCACTGGGCCACTGAGCGATGCTTTGTCTGCTTCCATGGGGAACTTGCGCAAGGAGGACTGTGCAAGCCTTTCGAATGGCCTCGTTGTGGCTGACAAACTGCCAGATCAGTGTACCTACCACTGCACAAATAACAGGACACTATTAGACATGATTATTGCATTCCCTTTATTTTAAGCTGGTGAATGCACGCGTAAATGAACATTTAAGACCAAAGGGAAAATGCTAATAAAATTGCTCACAAGCATATAACTGTATACCAGACTCCTCAGACATTATTCACCTTCAATACTCCATACTGTTCTTACTAAAATGTTACTTAGATTTTATAAGGACATTGTGCACCACCACCACTAACCATTTAGATAACTCTCACGTAACAAATCATTATTGTACTCTTTAAAAATGATATGCTTTTGATAATATACAACAATCGTTGTGCAAAATTATCATTTCAGTCAGTGAAGGTGTTTATAATTGTGGAGTATTGTTGAGTTCATAATAATAATAAAAGGACATACAGACAGAGAGTGAGATCAGAGTTCCAGGAACAGCATGACCCACAATCGCCAGCCCCGCACAGCATGCACAGAACTGTATGTGGGATCATCAAAACAAAAAAAAGTTGATGTTACAGAAGCCAAATACACGACTATACTCCGTATCATAGGGCCTCACTTTTGTTTACATGTAAATGTATGTCTATTTATTTAGTTTAGATTCGAATGCCATTTAACCATATATCAGAACTTTAAAAGTAAAGTAAAACGCAAAGCAGGCATACATGAATGTGTAGTGGTGTGGGGTTAAACTCTGCCACTTTACCTTAGCTGGATGCTGTCTGCGGAAGCGAGTCAGGGTCAGCCACGAGTCATTCAGGCCCCCACAGAGCTCAGGCAAGCTCAGCTGCTTTGACAAAACCACCACCCAACTGCATAATCAAATTAACAAATTAGTTTCTACTTACACATAAAGGCACCTCCACATATGAGAGGTGGAAGTCACAAAAATAACCAATGCATTAACATGATTTTGAAAGCACATATTTTACGGATTCCTCTTACAATTCTTTATCCAGAAAAGCCCTACTGAGTCCCGAGACCATATTTCAGGAGAGTCCTGCTATGTTATCACAGTAGGCGGCGATGATTGCTGTGTTCCCAAATTTAGTCGTTTGTGGATATATATTTATTTGGACCATGACGCCAGCACACAATGAGCTACTGTTCTTCAAACGACGTCACGGGATCTTTAACGTCCACTGTGAGACGGTGCATATGTTATTGTTAATACATCTGCAGTATTAACCAGGGTGCCCTGCTGGATTCGAACTCCGAGCCTCTGTAAGAAACGGTGAATGTGCTACCCCATGGCCATGTCACCATATCAGCCTACCAAGCTCCAAGTGGAAAAATTAAAAGACCCTTACAAGATCAACATATCATCATGGCCAAAGCCGGCAATGCGTTAGAACGAGCCATATCATGACTCGGGCATTCATCATTCACCCATTTGTTACCAGTATCCTCTCCGATAAAAGTGACCATTTACATCAAAATATCTGAAACCACAAAACAGTATAACACAGCAATAGTTCTAAACTGTGATCAAAAACGTGTCTGTAGGGGAGATACATAGAATGTATAATTATGTTGCAGTACATCACAGTTCTCTACTTTAGTGGTCCCCAACCTTTTTGGCACCAGGGACCGGTTTCGTGGAAGTAAATTTTTCCACGGACCGGGGGGGGGATTTATCATTGGGTCTTTCCCCCTTTTCAAAGAAGCTCTCCAGCGACGTTTGTTTTTTGACTCATTTTGGCTACTAGGGGTTAGCTTGTGGGCTTACCAACACTGTGACTGAGACAAGTGCGCAGTACGGCAAAGAGGCGTGGATGGATGTGGTAAATAAAATAATGGGTGGGCTACGCGCAGACTCACTGCTCTCACCTCCTGCTGCTGTGCGGCCCGGTTCCTAACAGGCCACGGACCGGAATCGGTCCGCGGCTCCGGGGTTGGGGACCCCTGCTCTACTTTGTAGACTCATATGTACTGAATTGTATAACATTTTACCAGGAACGTTACGCGAAGTTGTGCTGATGAATGCATTCGATTCATGAGCTTTTATTGAACGGATCTCTTTCACAAGACAATTATGTTTGACATTTAATTTTAAAGGAATCCATAGTAATTAAAAATCACCAATGTCTAGCGAAGTAAAGCATCAGGAAATTAGATGTCACAGCGATTTATTTTGTACATGGGCCGGTGGAAGTCTGATGGTGAGAGATTCAGAACACTTAAAGAAGTTACCGATGTATGGCCAAGAACGTTAGGATTCAAGCCCATCAGAGACACCAACATTTGTTAAGGAGGGTACTGCTAAGTTTTCATAGTAGCAGGCAATGAAGGGCACCATGTCTATGAAGTTTATCGGACAACCTGGGTAGCTCCAGAAGGAGAGGCTTGCAGGTGGAGCAGCTACAGTGAGGGAAAGAAGTATTTGATCCCCTGCTGATTTTGTACGTTTGCCCACTGACAAAGAAATGATCAGTCTATAATTTTTATGGTAGGTTTATTTGAACAGTGAGAGACAGAATAACAACAAAAAAATCCAGAAAAACGCATGTCAAAAATGTTATAAATTGATTTGCATTTTAATGAGGGAAATAAGTATTTGACCCCTCTGCAAAACATGACTTAGTACTTGGTGGCAAAACCCTTGTTGGCAATCACAGAGGTCAGACGTTTCTTGTAGTTGGCCACCAGGTTTGCACACATCTCAGGAGGGATTTTGTACCACTCCTCTTTGCAGATCTTCTCCAAGTCATTAAGGTTTCGAGGCTGACGTTTGGCAACTTGAACCTTCAGCTCCCTCCACATATTTTCTATGGGATTAAGGTCTGGATACTGGCTAGGCCACTCCAGGACCTTAATGTGCTTCTTCTTGAGCCACTCCTTTGTTGCCTTGGCCGTGTGTTTTGGGTCATTGTCATGCTGGAATACCCATCCACGACCCATTTTCAATGCCCTGGCTGAGGGAAGGAGGTTCTCACCCAAGATTTGATGGTACATGGCCCCGTCCATCGTCCCTTTGATGCGGTGAAGTTGTCCTGTCCCCTTAGCAGGAAAACACCACCAAAGCATAATGTTTCCACCTCCATGTTTGACGGTGGGGATGGTGTTCTTGGGGTCATAGGCAGCATTCCTCCTCCTCCAAACACGGCGAGTTGAGTTGATGCCAAAGAGCTCAATTTTGGACCACAACACTTTCACCCAGTTGTTCTCTGAATCATTCAGATGTTCATTGGCAAACTTCAGACGGGCATGTATATGTGCTTTCTTGAGCAGGGGGACCTTGCGGGCGCTGCAGGATTTCAGTCCTTCACGGCGTAGTGTGTTACCAATTGTTTTCTTTGTGACTATGGTCCCAGCTACCTTGAGATTATTGACAAGATCCTCCCGTGTAATTCTGGGCTGATTCCTCACCGCTCTCATGATCATTGCAACTCCACGAGGTGAGATCTTGCATGGAGCCCCAGGCCGAGGGAGATTGACAGTTCTTTTGTGTTTCTTCCATTTGCGAATAATCGCACCAACTGTTGTCACCTCACCAAGCTGCTTGGCAATGGTCTTGTAGCCCATTCCAGCCTTGTGTAGGTCTACAATCTTGTCCCTGACCTCCTTGGAGAGCTCTTTGGTCTTGGCGATGGAGAGTTTGGAATCTGATTGATTGCTTCTGTGGACAGGTGTCTTTTATACAGATAACAAGCTGAGATTAGGAGCACTTCCTTTAAGAGTGTGCTCCTAATCTCAGCTCGTTACCTGTATTAAAGATACCTGCGTGCCAGAAATCTTTCTGATTGATAGGGGGTCAAATCCTTATTTCCCTCATTAAAATGCAAATCAATTTATAACATTTTCGACATGCGTTTTTCTGGATTTTGTTGTTGTTATTCTGTCTCTCACTGTTCAAATAAACCTACCATTAAAATGATAGACTGATCATTTCTTTGTCAGTGGGCAAACGTACAAAATCAGCAGGGGATCAAATACTTTTTTCCCTCACTGTATGCTGGCTTTAGCCTGGGGAGTCTTTTGGCATCTTATATTTTATAGTTTTATTACAAATCCTATTGTCAAATTGTATCCTACTGTGCTGCAATCAGAACAGAATGCTCAGTGTTGACAAAAACAAAAAGTAAACAACTAGTTTGTTTATAGGAAACAATAAACGCAACTTACTTAAAATAAATGAAGACATTGATTATAATTATTAGTGTTGTGAGCCATGGCTACAGTATACATTGACCGCTAGCGTTCACATCATTGGAATGCCGTGACCGCTCGTATTGGTTTTCTCCGTCGTCACATGGCACAACCACGTGAGCTCTTGTGTCACTGGAGGGTGTGTGTGCATGTCGGGGGTGTGACAAACATTTCCACTTGTGTACAGTAAATAAATTACTTAAAAAAGGTCACGCGGAGCCAAATGCTTGGGTGCTTACCAGCCAAGTGGCCGCTGTGAGTGCGCATCAACAAGGTGACGTAGCAAGGCTTGCATCCACCTGAAGACTCATTTATGTAAAACACACCATGGTTGTTGTTTGCGTGTTTTACCAGAACTATTGATTAACTATAAATCCCCTTTATCCATAATGATCGAATTATGTTAAAACAAGAAGTAATATCCCATTGATGTGGATTACTTTTGGGGATATAAAAAAGTCCACACTTGCTTTTACTACTTTCCATATTCCAGTATTATATTTAAATAGCTATGAGGATTAAAAAAAAGGTTGCTTGTAACATGAGTTATCACCAGAATATTTAATTTGGCCAGAAGGAAATTATATAAGATAAATGTAAGCACATTAATAAATATATAAAGATAGCATGTGCCCAATCATAAATGTAAAAAAGTCAACACCCCCCCCCCGCTCAAATGATGAATGGGGTAGTGTGTGTGTGCTGATCTCCATAAGTGGCCCTCTGAGCCAGACGTGCCAATTCTACGTTTCCATGGTGGGGGCAAGTGTTTTCGTAAAGTAGTGGTCACTTGATAATTCCTGGGATGTGATCTCATCACCTTTTGATTGTCAAGTATTCTACTCATCGCACCAACTGGCCTGGTACCACATTTAGTATTCATTGCCAGTATACAGTGGCGCCTCGAGATGGACTGTATATGTGGCACGGAATGAATATTAAAGGATGATTTAAACACCGTGTGTACTTCTAAATACTATTAACATTGCGGCTCACCATGTTGTTGCTCGTCTTTTTGAATGCTCAATTTTGCTAAAAAAAAAACAATTGCGGAGCCAGTAAGTTGGCAACACGGTTTAATTTAATACAAAGCGCAATGATCACCCAACTTCAGGATCCACATTCTTTCCGATTAGTTTTTTTACTGAGGCTATTTATGTGGCCGTGTCAATAACCACTGAGGGGTTTGAAAATTGTGATTCGCAAATACAAAAATAACAGTGGGTGTGTTTATTGTGCACTTTGTACCCATGAGTGACAGACCAGATATGCTCTTTGGAGGCCACATTGATAGTAGCAGCTGTGTGTACGTGCACGCCCTGACATGTCCCTCTACCAGGCTATAAACAGCTCATATGCCATTAATAGCTCCAAGTATATGAGTTTGACATGAAAGACAAATCATATGAAGACATTTTCTCGTGATGTTTCAAATTAATGTATCTATAATTGTCAACTGATGGTGCCTAATGGTTGTGAGAGTTGATATATTCCACGATATAGACAAGAAAACATTGTTTTACTGGACTGTACTAGCAGTGAAAGCTATACACCAGAACATCTGGCAAGGACTTGTTCAAGTCGGTATCTGACCTCTGTCAACCATGTTCTTACCTCGCCATCCTTATGAGTACGTCTTGATCGTTATAAACGCACTAGGTCACAATTCTAGTTGAAACGTTCCCAAATCAACCTGATTACAATGTATCTCTTGATGTTCCCTTATGCGTTAGATAAAACAGTATGTATTACTTATTGACGGTACATTACATACATTGGTGTATTGTTACAATGGAAATATTTTTTACCACCAGTAAACTGAAACCCTAAGACATGTAGACTACAGTAGAGTGCCGTGTTTCCTTTTAAAATTTATTAGTTCTAAGAAAAGAGGAGAACGTTCATTTGAATGTGAACACAATAAATATTTTAGTTGCATAATACAGTGCCAGCTTTTCAAGTGGAAGTAATTCGATCATCTTGAATATGAAAATAAGATTTTTGCAAACATCACATTTATATTAACACTGATGTTTTGGCATTTATAAAATGTAATGCAAAATGTATCAGCGATAAATCTAAACAAGGACTTAGAACAGATAGGAATGTTTTAATATGATTGCTAATTGTTTTTTTTATACATTTCATAATGTATTTAATGTGTAAAAAAATACATGATTATTATGAGAATAGGTTTTCCCCTTTTTTCTGGCTAGAAAACAGGTGTTAAGATGTTAAAACACCAAACTGAAACCTTTTACAAGGAATCATGTCTGCATTAACCACAATACTTGTGTTCAGAATACAAACAAAAAACACACTGACAGTATATGCATTGTCCTTGAAACTGATTGGTCCACACCAGATACAGCTTCCTTTCAAGCCTCGTCTCAAACGTTGTTAGACCAGAGGACGCCAAAAGGTGTGTTTTGTTGCCAGAAAAAAGGGGAAAACCTATTCTCATATTTTGATACTGGCAAAGGAGATCCCATTATGTTTATTATGGCAAAATAAATTGTATGTTTATTTTGTCAACCAGCTTGTTTTTGTAATTGCAATCCTCAACTTCATGAATGCAACAATAGAAATTACTCAACTTTTGAAGTTGAGGTTTTCATACAGGGTTTTCATGAAGTGTAATTTTAAATATTAACAAATCTGATCTTTCTGTTTTATGGTGTTCTCATGACAAGCAGTACATCTTGTAGGAAATGTGTGTGGTTCCCCTTAAGTTACTAGTACCCTGGTGTGTATGTGGTGAAGGAAATGTGTCCTTTAAGTCATGTGTGGTTTAACACTGCATTTATTCCCCACAGAAGTAAATCCGGGTTCACACATAACCTCCGTTAAAACTAACACCGCAAGCATGCCAATTGCTGTCATATTTGGGTTATATTTAAATATATCTTTGTTGAGTGGTTTATTTCTGTGTCCTCCTGTGTTAAGGCTTGGCAACTAGGTAAAACACGCCTCGTGTGCCATGACCTTAGCATTTTGTTCTAATCATAGTTTCAGAGGGAAATAGAGTAGCCGATCACAGCTCTTGACATTTTAGTGTGAAGTGCAATTGCATGATAAAGATGGATACTTTTTATAGGTGGTAACATGCCACACTGCAGGGCCTCTCCTATATTTGCATTTTTTCCTAGGTAGGAAAGAGTGGTAATCCGAGATCATTTGTGTATTGGTTACATGCAACAGCCTGTGCAGAAATAGGGTCAACTTGACATTTACGTGAGCGGGGCAGATAGAGATTAAATCCCTTTCTCGGAAGGTTTTCCTACACATGACAATGTGGAACAGTGACTTTAACACCCTCTGTTGGTTGTACAACCTGTTAAAAACAAGCGGTCATGTTCAGTCAACAATACGTGCTTGCGTAATCTGGGCATGTGACTTTTAGTGTTGTTAGCCAGCAGCTATTATGGTCTCTCAGTAACAAAATCATGTGATCGTGAAAGGCAAAGCTTCAGAATTCAAAAATACAAAAAAATAGTTCACGAATATTATTTTAAGTGCCCTTTAATTGTTTATCCCAAAAAGTGCACAGCAAGTTCACAAAACAAAGTAATATATCTGTTATAGGGACACAGCTGCAAAACACAACAGAGTACAATACAATTGATGTGTATATACAAAGGGAAGTTTTTCGAGGTATACTTGGACCAAAATTATGAAATAAAGAGGCGAACGAAAGCAAGCTTGAGTGCTATTGCAAAACTGTAATTGAAAGATTAAAGCAAAATACCATTGTGCCTGAATATAAGTTTTCAATCAGTGCATATTACCTGCTATGACATTTTAATCAGAAACAAGGACACTGACATAGAAAATGGAATAAGTTTGCAAAGACGCATGATGAGGTCCATGCTTGGAATCACACTAGACATAAAATGAACTAATGAATCAGTGAAGATGTGCAAGTTACATATATCATATTGAACTATTCAGGAAGTGGGGCATGGACAGGGCACATTGCTAGAAGTGATGATGGCTGGTGATCAAGACTAACAACGGAGTAGCGGCAACACACCTGAGATGACCCCTAAAATGGAGATAGATCAACAAATTAGCTGGATGGATTATACTGCGAGACAGCGAGAGATGGCAAAGGCCTGGGAGGTCTTCATCCAGTATTGGATAGATCATGTGTCATTATGGTTAACATTTAAGACACGTAACAATGGTAAAAAAAATTGTAAGGGGATATGAAACACGTTTTCGATTTTATATTAGTATTTTTGTGCCAAAACAAATTTGTCTATTAAGCTCATTCGTATAAAAACAAACTACTGCCTTTCAGAGGGTATTTCCGATTCCAGAACATAATAACATTATCAAGGGTCAATCGTTACATTTAATTCACACAGTTAATATTGTACATGTAAATTGTGCACAATTGTTAAAAAAGCACAATTAGGTATAATGCTTCAGTTGTAACTGTCAACCAAGGAAATAACGTCGCCAAACATGTTTGTCGGTATCACTGATACTATCTATTAATTGGTCCTATTATAACCAGGTGTAATGTGCTTTGTGACTTTACCTTGGCAGCTGGCCACAGCTGTTGCTGGCGTGCATGGTGTGTGTCAGGCCTGCTTTGGGCAGATTGTCCTCCTGTTCCACAAACGCCGGTATGGTTTAGTGAGTGTACAGCTCTCTCTCTCTCTTACTCCAGCACTCTTGTCAGTCCGGTGAAATAATGCAAACGCCACTGGCTTAGCAGACTCTCTATTGGAGGAAGTCTGTAAGAGAGGGGCCTCATAGCCTTTTATTGGCTGGCCCTGGGATGAGTCACTGGGCACATGGCCTGTGCAGTGTTTATAAATAACTGCAGCAACTCTTTCTCGAAAATAACATTGTATTATCTTCTTTTTCACATCAACACACAACACTCCTGATGTACCATGTGCCTAGTGAGGATCCCTGTCATCCCATATCTGTGTACTTGTTTTTTACCAAGCACCAACTGAAACTTTTCGCAAGTCATTGTTTGGCTTGCATGTTTAAGAAACGTATGCTCTCTATTTGTGTTTTATTATACATTCTAATGTTGTTGACATACTGCAGTGTGTTTTTAAGATATTAAGACTATGAAAACATGAGGTTGAAATATATCTTCTCTAAATTCCTAAACACAAATAAAAGTGACAACCTCATTAATACAAATCGTTTCATTTTAATATTGATAAGAATACAATGCAATTTTATCATGAAAAAAAGACATGTGGCATAAAGTTCTAAGAAAGTCGATAAGTAAACCTGAAAACTCTTGTCGTGCAGAAATGTAACTTATGTTTGTTTTAACGTATGTACATGGTATTATATCATACAATACTTTACTGTAACATATTATGCCCACTACATATTGGGTCAATGCTGCCGTGCAGTTTACACACAAGTGAAATCGGACATCCCAGAAGGGTTTGGGAGAATGTTCCAGTATCAAGTATCAAGGCCCTTCCTGGAAATTAAAATGAAATGCAATCAAGTGTGATAGGGTTTCAACTTGGGAAATTAACCACTTTGGCTGTTCAGTACCAAGGGTTAGCGGCAGATCTAACTTATAATTAGAGTTGTTCAAATTATATATTTTTTGCATTAATATACTGGTAATCGCATGCAAACCCGGTAACAAAACGGTTTTCCACACATGTAGAAATTAACACAATTTTTTTAGTTTTTCAACTGAGAAACGAGGTGAGCTACCGTGACCTCCGCACTTGCAATCCGATTATATTTCCCGGCGCGGCAGTTAAAACAATGGGGAAAGTTTATTACATCCCATGCCCGCCTCTATAAATTGATGCACCACGGTGTGTGATGGGATAAAGTGTGGTTATGCCCACCTCTTACAATTAAGACGTCTGGTCTGCGTTGAAGAGTAGCCCAAGTAGAACTCCCTTGAGTGGGAGGCACTTCTGCCAGCAGTTGTGTGAGCGAGAAATTGCAGAGCTGCACCATTAACCTTTAAACTGAGAAACGAGGGCAAATGTACCGTGTTGTGACTTAGGCCGCCGTGCCATTTGTTCACGTGCTGTGTGCCAACCAGTGCATTCATTACTACATTTACACTGGAAACGATTATTGGTTCCTTACTTCTGTCACCGGTAAATCAGTTCTGAAAACGGGTTTTAGTTTACTGGCCACTGCTTAGTACCCCTACTTAGTTACAAGACAATGTGAATTTGTAAACAATATATAATGTAACTGCATCTCAAGCTAGATGGTTGGTAAATATAAATGGCAATGGTCAGAGGAATCCAGATTTCCAAAAGCACTCAAACATTCTCTTGTCTGCCGAAATAATGGATCTCAACAGTGTACATAATATGGAAGAACATCTTAATAGGGGACAATGAAGCACAGTCGTTTCATCGCTCCGCTGCTGGATGACGGCCTCTTCCCGCACTGGGCTGCTGCTAATAATTTTGTATGGCAAATGAAGAGCAACGAGTAGAAGAGAGATTCAGCCATTCAATGTCTTTTTCTGAGTTGGCGAATTGCATATACACACCACCATCAAATTTATATTGGGTGGGGGGGGGCAGTGAGAATTCAGTTGATATTGGTCTCATGGTTTGTCTGGCAGTACAAGCTGCTGATGAGACAATTGGTTTCAAAATCAGTGCAGAGTTTGCTTGTGTTGCTGACATGCTGCAACTAAATGCACTCTCAGAAAGAAGATGGCCATGTGGCTGACGGGATGTGTAAATAGAAAACTTTCATTTATTAATAAAAAGGACTTAAAACAAAATGCTTTCATTGTTTCTACATGTGTAGTGGCAGATATGTAAACAAGGTGTATTCATTACCCGCTTTTAATGCTAATTTCAGATGCGGATACCTGATGCACAAATGGATAATTAAAAGCTCTCTAGTAATGTGCGACTGTGGTCATCCAGAACAGACTACAACAACAATGCTCGATCCACAAATACGAAGGAGACATCACTGCGATAACACTCCGTTGCTCCTGACGCGGTTATCGAGCTTGACCACCTGAATGTGAAATTGTAGTTGTTCTTCTGCATCTACATGAGCCACACGAAAGAAGAATGCTGAATTTTATTTAACTTTCAAATCAGATTACGTCATTGATCCATAATAGAGGGGGGGGGTGGGGTTCCGGGGGGTTTGATCGTGTAAATATATTAATGTGTCGTTAAACCCGCCACCACTCGACACAGGCAATTCGTGAGGTTAGTCACGTAAACAAAACATGCCAATTCATTATTTGTACAGCCTACACCGGTGTGTTGGGAGAGCAAATCCACAACAGTTACAATCTGAGTACGACGTTTCGCCAGTAAATTACAAGCGGCATCATCAGGCGGCGGCCAGATTTGTGCAGAGAGTGGAGTGCACTGGGTGTGTTGGAGAGTAAACCCACAACACTGAAAACACTTACAATTTCGAGTACGACGTTTCGCCGATTAATTACAACCGGCATCATCAGGCGGAGAGCCCAACATCGTTTGGACTACGTCATTCATCTCGCCCGCCCCCTCCACCCCCCGCCCCCTTCGCCCCCCCCTCGCCCCGCCCCCATTCACGTCGTCGACGTGCGCGCGCCGCGGTGACGTCACCGCGGGAGTTTTCCCGCCATTTTTAGCGGCGGAACCGCGGATCCCGCGCGGCAGCAGAAGGTGGCGGCGGCGGCGGCGCAGCAGCAGCGCGGAGCCCGGATCGAAGGCGCCCCCCACACCCACCCCCCCCTCATCCTCCTCGAGACAGACAGAGAGAGAGAAGATGCCGCGAGAGATCATCACCCTGCAGCTCGGGCAGTGCGGGAATCAAAGTGAGTTGAGGGGTGGGGGTGGTATCAGCAGCGGCAGCAGCCCCCCGCGCCTGTCGCGTTCACACTTAAGAGCCTGGCGGCCTCCATTGGCGGTCCACGCCGTTCGTCACCTCTGTCGTCGTCGTCGTCGTCATTATCCCTCGTCGTCGTCGTCGCCGTCTTTATGAGTGGTCGGTCGAGCGATCACTACGAGCTCTGTGCGCGCGTTGCTAAGTAACGGGAGATGCCGCGGCGTACAGTGCGCACTGTACGTGATGTACGGTGTGATGGAGTCAACGCGCGGCTGTCTGCATGAATTCAGAGTTGGTGACACGTTCAGACGCGATGCCCTGCTCAACCTGGCGTTGTGGTGGTTCGTTTACTGCCCCCCCCCCAGAGGCAAGCGGTGTAAATTCCACATTCGCATGGCTGGGAGGGGGCGAGAACGTCCCCGCTGTTGACACTCCCCCCCCCCCCCCCCCCTCACGGAGTGGTACTAAATTGTATCGATCCCTGAGGGATGATGGGCTGAGTCATTCCCAGGAGTGGTACTAAATTGTATCGATCCCTGAGGGATGATGGGCTGAGTCATTCCCCCTCTCACTAGGATTTGAACTCGCAATTGGTAGTCCATTGCGAGGTACTCGCCCGATCGCCGAGCCTCTTGATTGCTTTGCCTAACGTGCGTGCCCATTGTCAGCAGCTCAAACCCAACATTTAGCAATATTAGGAAACGAAAGCACTCATTTATGTATGTTGAACTTCAATCGCACCGTACGTAGCCAACCGTGCTGTAATGGGGCAGATACATACGGGTTTCAAGCCTTTGTTGACAATTACATGAGAAGGCCGTCTGATAGAATCTGATCAAATAGGCCGTTGAATTGTATACAACGTTCTAACGACACTTGTAAAGCGAATATATAGTCAAGTACAGCGATTGTCCTAACGATACACACTTGCCACCGCCATGGGAATATGGATCTCCATCACTGGCTCAGGGCTATTAACCGGAGGTGAGCACCGCCTGTGCTCTCATTTGAGATCTACATCTTATTGCCAAAATCTGCATTGTGCCAATGTAATGATTTGGCTATGGGTTTCCCCCATACTTCATGCAAAGCACATTATGAAAAAATAAGAATAGGTTTTACCCTTTCTGGCAATAAAACTCATTCTTATTTTTTTCATACTTTGATACTGGCAAAAAGGTCCCATTTTAAAGCACATCGTTGAACTGGACTGCTTTGTTTATTTTGTTGCAGTCGGGTTTGAGTTCTGGAAGCAGCTGTGCGCCGAGCACGGAATCAGTCCCGATGGGATCCTGGAGGATTTTGCTACGGAGGGCACGGACCGCAAGGACGTTTTCTTCTACCAGGTCTGGTTTAATTTCAGGTCGAGATGACTGCCCTGTGCGCTACTGCCCATGTAGATGCAGGACAATACCGGTCCTATGACTTCCCAAATTCAAAATGCCCCCGTGTGGGCCACACTGGCTGGTTGGTGGGCATGAAGTGGTGCCTTGCTCTCCTGTGGGCAGGTGTGGGTGGAGACGAACATTGTTTTATTGCTAGAAAGGGTAAAGCATATTCTTATTTTGTCATAATTTTTTTATACTGGCAAAAAGGTCCCATAGATATAACATTGAAGTGGTGGTATTGGCTTAGCGTCTTCTGAATTATGGCGGATGTAGATGCAGAGCAACAACTCCAATTTCACATTCAGGTGGTCAAGCCAGATAACCGCGTCAGGAGCAGCGGACTGTATCGCTGAAATGTCTCCTTCGTATTTGTCGATTGGGCATTGCGTCGTTAAATGTTGTATGGTCTGTTCTGGATGAACACAGTCGCACACCGGTTCAGCTTATTTCTGTGATGTACTGCACTCTGCAGGCTGATGATGAGCACTACATCCCTAGAGCTGTGCTACTGGACCTGGAGCCACGCGTCATCAACTCCATTGTAAACTCGTCCTACGCCAACCTCTACAATCCTGAGAACATTTATCTGTCAGAGCATGGCGGAGGCGCCGGCAACAACTGGGCCAGTGGTCACTCCCAGGTACACCGACGTCTCTTTATAATGTGCACATGTAGTTAGTTATACGGTGTAATGTATACTTTGTATGTTAGCTGATTATTTCCTAGAAGTTGTTTTGCGATAGTCATTTTGTTAAAGCTGGCCATCCATCTAAGCGATAGTATGTGGTACTGCATCATTACTAGTAACTGGGTTATTACCCTGTTAAATTATAGCATATTGCAATTACTCTTTTTGATTGTCTTGTAATGTTCCACAGGGTGAAAAAATCCATGAGGAGATATTTGATATTATTGATAGAGAAGCTGATGGCAGTGACAGCTTGGAGGTGAGTGCCAGTTTACTCCATTCAGAATAGAATGTGAAGATGTTTTGAAAATAGACTACTCGTTATTTTCATATTAGTAAACAGGGAGTTGTGTGATTGTGGTAAAGGTTGTAATCCTGTGAATAATAGATTATTTAAAGCCTAGAAATCAGCTGAAATGTCCAGGTCTTCCTGTCCTATTAGTGACTATTAAAACACTTGTTTTACCTTTATCTGATAATTGTTTTTTTACCCTTTTATCTGGCAACAAAACTGACACCTTTTTTTACAAGGAGTCATGTTTACATTGACCACAATACCTGCGATCGGAACGCAAACAAAAAACAACAACTCTGATAATGTATGCACTGTGCTTGAAATTGATTGGTCCACACCCGAGACAGCTTTCTTTAGAGCCTCGTCTCACATGGTGTTGGACCAGAAGACGCCAAAAGGCGCACAACTCAAAGACAATGCACCATCAGAGTATGAGAGCTCGGGTTAAGCATTTACACCATTGGAAACCTCATTTGCTAGTAACAAACGTCTTCTGGTCCAACACCTTGTGAGACGAGGCTCTAAAGAAAGCTGTCTCGGGTGTGGACCAATCAATTTCAAGGACAGTGCATACATTATCAGAGTTGTTGTTTTTTGTTTGCGTTCCGACCGCAGGTATTGTGGTCAATGTAAACACGACTCCTTGTAAAAAAAAGGTGTCAGTTTTGTTGCCAGATAAAAGAGTAAAACACCAATTATCATATTTTGTTACTTGCAAATGAGGTTTCCAATGGTGTTACCTTTATCTGTTATTTTATTTATAAGTTCACTGAAGCAGCAACTTACGTGACTTTACTGAAATAACCAAAGAGTATTGATATGAAATGCTTGATTTTTTTTGTACAATATTTTGTTTCTTTATTGCAGGGGTTTGTGCTGTGCCACTCCATTGCAGGGGGAACAGGCTCAGGCCTGGGTTCATATTTGTTGGAAAAACTCAATGACAGGTACTGTAGTTTACATCAGACAACTACATAATAGTAACACACACACTCTTTGGTTCTTTCAGTAAAGTCACGTAATTATAAATAAAATAAAACAAATCACGACGTTTCAATTGCAACAGAAGCGGCCGTCATCAGGCAAAGGAGTCAGCCTCTAAAGGCAAACTGTTTGTAAAGGTTTAGGGATGGGCACAGCCCAAGTGTATCAACAGCACCAGGAGCATGGGCGGTGCACGAGTGCCAATGCAGCAACAATGCCAATGCAGTGGGCGAGAGAGCTGCCGTGGCAAGAGGTTATATAGGTAAGAAAGAGGGAGAGGAGCAAGGGGGGAGAGAGAGGGGGGGGGGTGTGGGGTAGGGGGATGGAGGGGCGCTGCGTGAGCACTAGGGGGAGAGGACATGAAGCTGGGGGGGGGGGAAGTGGGCGGGGCTGGAAGTGGGAGGCTGGGGATGCGGGGGGGGGAAATGAACTCAGAAAAATAGACTAGTACCCGGCAGATATGACAGAACAACCATAAACAGTTAAGGTACTAGTCTATTTTTCGAGTTCATTCCCCCCACATCCCCAGCATTCCCAGCCTCCCACTTCCAGCCATACCCACTTCACGTCCTCTCCTCCTAGCGCTCAGGCAGCGCCCCCCCATCCCCCTACCCCACACCCCCCCCCTCTCTCTCTCTTCCCCCTTGCTCCTCCCCCTTTCTTGCCTATATAACCTCTTGCCACGGCAGCTCTCTCGCCCACTGCATTGGCATTGCTGCTACATTGGCATTGCTGCTGCATTGGCACTCGTGCACCGACCATGCTCCTGTTGTTGTTGATACTCTTGGGCTGCGCCCATTCCCAAACCTTTATAAACATTTTGCCTTTAGAGGCCGACTCCTTTGCCTGATGACGACCGCTTGTGATTTGTTTAATTTTATTTCTAATTACGTGACTTTACCAAAAGAACCAAAGAATATGGATTCCTGCAGTCACGAAAGCTTCAAATCAAGATAGTAACACAGTTAATTATAAAATTTCTCACTTTTCAGAGTTGACTTTACACGTGTGCTTGAATATATGCAACTTGTTAATTAGCAAATTGGAATGAGCTTTGTAAATATTTTTGCAGGTTCCCAAAGAAGTTGATCCAGACATACTCTGTGTTCCCGAACCAGGATGAAATGAGCGATGTGGTGGTGCAGCCGTACAACTCCCTGCTCACGCTTAAACGACTCACTCAGAATGCCGATTGTGTGGTACATGTGGCTCACCACCTCTGCATATTCATTTCGTTGACATTTGTTGGCCCTGAAGTAACTTACATTAAAATGATTGTATTTTTTATATTTCACCTCTAGGTTGTGCTGGATAACACAGCCCTAAACAGGATAGCCACAGACAGACTGCACATACAGAATCCTTCCTTCTCTCAAATCAACCAGCTGGTAAGTACTCTGCATCATATTGTTGATGCTTGAGTCTTAGACTTAGAATCAGTATCAAGTATTTATCAACAGGAACTTTTCTATTTTAATTCAAAAGTAACGATGCACCTTACCAAATCAATATATGGACAATCTTGATTTGAAGCTTTCGTGACTGCAGGAATCCAATGCTCTTTGGTTCTTTCGGTAAAGTCACGGAGGTAGAAAAATAAAATAACGTCGAAACGTTGATTTATTTTATTTCTACCTACGTGAATATATGGACAGTCGCACCATAAGCTTAAACTCGAGTTGGATGACATTGATGTGGGGGTCCTTTGTGTTTTGTTGCTTACTGAGCTAATGCAATTTTTTTTTAAACTAGGTGTCGACTATCATGTCTGCGAGCACCACCACTTTACGCTACCCAGGCTACATGAACAATGACCTCATCGGCCTCATTGCCTCCCTCATTCCAACCCCCCGTCTGCACTTCCTCATGACTGGCTACACACCCCTTACGACTGACCAGTCGGTAAGCTGGCACATGCCCTCAATCAGGCTCATGTCCCATGCCTGCTTAAATATTTTTCATTCAAGTGTTTTTTTTGTGTTATTGTGCTGAGAAATAAAACAAAAAGGGTCCTAATATTTTGTTAAAAAGTTAAATATGCCTGGTACTGATCCATACGACAGAGACAGTAGATAATTGATGCATGGCTGCCTAATGGTGTAATGTTTTGTATTGTTTGCTAACATGCTTACTGAAAAATCACTAGGAAAGGTTTTTAAGGAAACAAGTGGAGCGCACAGCAACTAAGATGGTACCCATATAGTGCTGTATTCAAAGTATTTTATGCATTCTTTACATTTTAATAGATTGTGTTTCTTAAGTGATGGGAATGCATGGTTTGCCGTGTTTGAAAACATGCAGAATATCGGCAATTCTTTGACCTTAACGTTATTTAATATAAATTATCATCGGTTAATATGACCTTTGAATCAAGATAGAAAAAAATAATGTACGTATTTGTACCAACATGTATCTTAACATGTACGTTTGAGAGGTTATTTTATTTAGTGTTTCCAAATTACAATGGTTATCGATGTGTTTTAGTGCTCAATCATGCAATATATGCTTCTTTCTCACGTAATATGGCAATGTTTTACACCACCAGGTGGCGAGTGTGCGCAAGACAACGGTTTTAGATGTAATGAGAAGACTGCTGCAGCCCAAGAATGTGATGGTTTCCACTGGCCGTGACCGCCAAACCAACCACTGCTATATTGCCATTCTCAACATCATACAGGGAGAAGTAGACCCAACACAGGTAAAGTCAGGCTTCTTAAGTGGTACACATGTACACTGCTCAGACCTAAATGTACTGAATCGAAAACAAACCCAAAATGTTTACGAATGAACGATTGTGCTTGCACAGGTGCACAAAAGTCTGCAACGGATTCGGGAGCGGAAGCTTGCAAACTTCATCCCGTGGGGCCCGGCCAGTATCCAGGTCGCCCTGTCACGCAAGTCACCTTATCTCACTTCTGCCCATCGTGTGAGCGGCCTCATGATGGCCAACCACACCAGTATTTCCTCTGTAAGTTTCTCACTGGAAGTGAGCATATAAAGTGCACACATATGCTACAGTTTAATGTGCGTATGGGTGAATAAATAATAATTACAGTCCTTTGTGAATCGGTGGCAGGTGGCTGGATAAAGAGGCCTTCCCAGGCCACGCTGTCAAAGGTCTGATGTAATTAGCTGCTGATGTTTACCATAGCTGGAAATAACTGGTCGCCAGGTTCATAGTGCAGTGTGCTAGCTGTGTCACAGATCCCCCTAATGTGTCGTATTTAAACAAAACACATGAACAATGTAACTGCACAAGCCTGTTTTGTTGAAGTGTTGTTTAGCAGTATGTATTGACCACTTTACCTCTCTTGCAGTTGTTTGACAGAACGTGCAAACAGTACGACAAGCTGCGGAAACGCGAGGCATTTTTGGATCAGTTCCGCAAGGAAGACATGTTCAAAGAGGATTTGTCTGAATTTGATGATTCGCGTGAGGTCGTGCAGCAGCTCATTGATGAGTACCAGGCAGCCACACGGCCCGACTACATCTCCTGGGGTGCTCAGGCCTAATATGGGCATGGCAGCACCTCTAAGTGACCTGACAGATGACTCATCAGTTTGTTTTTAATTAGAAAATGTCAATTAAAAAATGTTTTTCATTTTTGCCATAGTGGGTATAGCACAAACATTTCCAGGATTCAAGTTGATTATTTCAGGACTCACACTACTGAGAAGCTAAGGTCTACATTTACAGCTCACCTTTTTATATTGGTGTTTGTGGTTATATTTGCTTGAATGTTTATTAGATGCAATGGATACATGTCTGAAACTGCAGTGATAATATATAAACTAGGATTTAGGACAATGTGTGCATCTTCCAATAGAGTAATACCATGTGACCATGTGTAAAAATGCATTTATACCGTTTTTCTGTTAAGTTTTTAACGTGTTCAAAATGCACTGATGTCTAATAAAGTCCCCTAAATGCTTTGAATAGTTGAGACAAATGCTTCAAGAAAAATATAATATGGGTGCCACGGTGGCAAGATGGTATACAGCTGGGTTTGATCTCGATATTTGGAGTTTGGACGTTCTCCCTGTGGTCGCGTGGATTTTTCCGAGTCCTCCGGTTTTCCCTACACATTTAGAAACATGGCTTTAGAGTACTTGGATGAGATAAAGTTCCACATAAGTGACTTAATTGGGCTATCATTTGTGATAGCCAGGTCTCTTCTGAAAAATAGCTATATAGCGGAGTGGACCTTACATGGTAAAATACAAAATTTAATAGAAATGGTATAAACATCTTGAAAGTTCTTGTACGGGGTGGTAACATGGCCGAGTTATGCATTTGCTGCTTGTTGGAGAGCTGCTTGTTGGAGAGCTCTTTATTGGAGCCCATGACTGTCCTGCTTAAGACTGTGGGTGTTCGTTTCTCAATACGTTTGTCCTGGTGAGGGTCGCAGTGGCAGTATGAGTAGGGTGGTCCAGACCTCCCTTTCCTTGGTAACAGACGAGTTCTTCCTGGGTAATTCCCAGGCCAGCCAAGCGACAGTCCTGCCAGCGCGTCCTGGGCTGGCCCCAGGGTCTTCTCCCAGTGGGATGTGCCAGGTAGAGTTCCAGGGGGTGTCTACCGGGGGGCATCCTTACCAGGTGCCCGAACCACTTCAACTGGCTCCTCTCGATCCAGAGGAGCAGCAGCTCGACTGAGGCTCACCCGGATTACTAAGCTCCTCACTCGATCACGGAGAGCGAGCCCAGCAACCCTGCAGAGAAACCTCATTTCGGCCCCTTGTATGCGTGATCTCATCCTTTCGGTCATTGCCCAAAGCTCCTGACCATAGGTGAAAATAAGAATGTAGATCGACCTGTAAACCGAGAGCTTTGTTCGAGAACTCAGCTCCCGCTTCACTACCACGGAACTAGTGCCCGCAACACCGCAGACACCGCACCTCCCACTTACCATCACTCGCAAAGCAGACTCCGAGGTACTTAAACTCCTCCACCAAGGGCAAATGTTCCCCCCCTTACCTGGAGGGAACCATGACCTCACATTTGGAGGTGCTGATCCTCATCCCAGCCACTTCACACTTTCAAACCGTTCAAGTGCATTCTGAAGATCAGACTGATGTGGCAAACAGGACGTCATCTGCAAAAAGCAGCGACGCCACCTCCATACCTTGGCTGCGTGTTGATATCCTGCCCATGAAAATCACAAACAGGAGTGGAGACAAGACACACCCTTGGCAGAGTCAAACACCCACAGTGAACGACTTTGATTTAACACCAAGAATACAGACACCTCTCACTCTGGGAATAGAGGGACTGGATAGCGCACAAAAGCGGCACCGGTACATCGTGCTCCCGCAGGACCTCCAACAATACATTGCAGGGAACATGGCCATATTCTTTCTCCAAGTCTACAAAGCAGAGGAAGACTGGAGAAGCACTCTTATGACCCCTCATATCTGTGAGAGGGAAAAGAGTTGGTCCATTGCTCCACGACAAAGCCAATATGCATTGTTCCTCCTAAATCTGAGGCTCGCCCACACTGGCATAGGCTTTACCTGGGACGCTGAGTGCGATTCCTCTGTAGTTGGAGCACAATTTCTGGAGTCCCCTTATTTAAAAAAAGAGAACCACGACCCCGGTTTTCCAGTCCAGAAGTACTGTACCCACCTTTCATCTAACATTGAAGATGCGTGTTAACCACGACACTCCACTGTCCAGCGCTTTCAACAACTCTGGACGAATTTCATCCACCCCAGAAACTTTGCTGCTACAAAGGCCCTCAACCACCGCAGCGACTTCAGCAACCGTGATGGATCCAACCACCCCAGCTGCTTCCAGGGCTGCCTTCTAAAAGGGCATGTCCACCAGGTTGAGCTGCTCCCAAGTGTGTTCCTTCCACCTCTCGACTATCTCCCTAGATTAGGTCAATGTTACACCACCCTTACTGAAAACAGCCTCGGCCATGTCCTCCAGAACATCTTTGAGGCTGCCCGGTAGTCCCTCTCCATGGCCTCTCCAAACTCCCACGCCCAGGCTTTTGCTTCAGTGAATGCTGCAGCTGCTGCCCTCTTGGCAAGCCGGTACCTCTCAATTGAGTCGAGAGACCTTTTTCCCAAGCATAGATCAGAAAGCCTCCAACTTACTGTGGGTGTATTTCTGGTCAAACAGTCTGCTTCTCAATTGAGCTTAAATATCTTATGACGTACAAAAACGAATATAGGCCACGTGATGCTGCTATATATTTGAAAAAATACTTGAAAATTACTTAATTGGGAAGCAAAGAAATTGCCCCCTAATCGACACTTGACAGGACCTTTAACACTTTGATGGAGGTTGTTAAGGGAAGAATAAAAGTAACACATTTGAGGCTTAAGTCTGAAATAAATATTTTACTTGTTTTCAGGAAACATGACAACAGTATTGTGTAAGCTTGGACTTCGAAGCTCTACAAGGCACGTTAGTGTACACACGAAAGGAAGCTTACATAAACATTTATACTTTTTATTTTATTTAAGGCAAACATCTGAAATAAAATATGGCTGCATTTTGCTGCAGTTGAAGAATTTTTTTGACAAAGCAAGCAAAACAGGAATATGAAAAAGTTATCAATGCCATTTCTAAACTAGGCACAGTATTCCAGTTATGCCAAGATATTACATTGTGGAAAATGTCAAGAATTATAAAATGCCAAACTCCACAGGATGTTATTTCCACAGTGCAATAATGCATTTAAAAATGCCAGATTTTTGGGCTTTTTCTCGTTTCCTTCACTTGTGTCCAGTTTTCCGGTGTGTGATTCCAAATATAAAGTCCAGGACAAGCGATGCACCTGTACATGATTGTACTTGACAAATCTCTTAAACATACTTAAATAAAAAAAGTTACTTTATTCGAGTTTTTTTTATACAAAATGTGATTATCAAACAACAGGGAATAAATAAGTAAACTCCCTGCAATCCATTTTGCAGAAATGCTGCCAGCAGCATATTTCACACCTCGGTCCAAACCTGGATGAGTCCCAGGAACGTATTGGCTTTGTAAACAAGAGTAAGGCTTCTAGATTTGAAGCTTTCGTGACTGCAAGGATTCATACTCTTTGGTTTATTCGGTAAAGTCACGTAGGTAAAATAAAATAAAACAATTAAATCACGACGTTTCGGAGGCAACACAAGTCTCCTTCAGGTGGAACAGACACAGCGGAACATCAGTGTCAAGTCGACAGCTCAGAGACCGGGTTTATATACAGGTCAAGGGGGGGGGGGGGGAGGAGTCAGACCGGGATGTGGGTGGGGGGGCTGAGCCAAGCCGCCCCTTGTCACGACGCAGGGGGCTCGGAGGAGCGGAGGTGCCTCATGTGCAACGGGTAAAACCCCTTTGTTATACTGCCGGGGGTTGGAGGAAAGGGATGGCGCGCTGCAAGGGTGCAAGTACAGCTTCATTTTTTAGAAAGCATTAAAAATGGCTGTATAATAAGGTAGTTAAAGTTTGACATACAACCACTGAGAGATGGAAATGGCTGTACAATTAAAAGGCAGCTAATGTTTGACTTGATTTATAACATCTTTCCAGTGGTTGCTCAATTTGAAACCATCCTCTCGGTTGAAGTTGTGTGTTTGTAAATCTGGGTGGCCTCGTGGACAAATCTCTGATAATAACCGGTAGGTTTGCAGAGTACCTTGGTATCAGAGAAAACAATATGATCACCCACAGCATTGCAACAGTGATCAGCCACGGCAGAATAATTCGTTCTGCCGTGTTTCAAATCTGATTTGTGCTCACGAATTCGGTCAGAGATATGTCGCTTCGTCTCCCCGATATAGCAGTCACCGCAGGTACAACTTAATTTGTAAACACCGGGGTACTGTAAGTCAGGGATAACATCCTTTACGGATTGGATCAGATCACGGATTTTGTGTACTGTGTTGAACCGGACCTGTATCTTGTGTTTGTTTAGAATTTTGGAAATATTTTTAGTAACGCATGCTATGTATGGTAACGTGATGATTTTGATCGGAGTGTCAAGTGGTTGTTTCTGTATGGTGAGAGAAACAGCTTGGCGGATGGTACGGTCAGAGTAACTTCAAGATGAACGGTTACTCTGACCATACCAAGATGAACGGTTACTCTGACCGTACCATCCGCCAAGCTGTTTCTCCCACCATACAGAAACAACCACTTGACACTCCGATCAAAATCATCATGTTACCATACATAGCAGGCGTTACCAAAAAGATTTCCAAAATTCTAAACAAACACAAGATCCAGGTCCGGTTCAACACAGTACATAAAATCCGTGATCTGATCCCATCCGTAAAGGATGTTATCCCTGACTTACAGTACCCCGGGTGTTTACAAATTGAGTTGTACCTGCGGTGACTGCTATATCGGGGAGACGAAGCGACACATCTATGACCGAATTCGTGAGCAGAAATCAGATTTGAAACACGGCAGAACGAATTCATCTGCCGTGGCTGATCACTGTTACAACGCTGTGGGTGATCATGATATTGTTTTCTCCGATACCAAGGTACTCTGCAAACCTACCGGTTATTATCAGAGATTTGTCCACGAGGCCACCCAGATATACAAACACATACACAACTTCAACCGAGAGGATGGTTTCAAATTGAGCAACCACTGGAAAGATGTTATAAATCAAGTCAAACGTTAGCTGCCTTTTAATTGTACAGCCATTTCCATCTCTCAGTGGTTGTATGTCAAACTTCAGCTACTTTATAATTATACAGCCATTTCTAATGCTTTATTAAAAAAATGAAGCTGTACATGCACCCTTGCAGCGCGCCATCCCTTTCCTCCAACCCCCGGCAGAATAACAAAGGGGTTTTACCCGTTTTCGCACATGAGGCACCTCCGCTCCTCCGCTCCTCCGAGCCCCCTGTGTCGTGACAAGGGGCGGCTTGGCTCAGCCCTCCCCCCCACCCACATCCCGGTCTGACTCCTCCCCCCCCCCCCGACCTGTATATAGACCCGGTCTCTGAGCTGTCCACTTGACACTGATGTTCCGCTGTGTCTGTTCCACCTGAAGGAGACTTGTGTTGCCTCCGAAACATCGTGATTTAATTGTTTTCTTTTATTTTATTTTACCTACGTGACTTTACCGAATAAACCCAAATAGTAAGAGTAAGGCTATGGCAGTGTAAACCATATAAAGCCTACCTGGTGCTGTTAAAACAACCAATTGTCAGCTGGCGCTATTTTGGGACAAAGACCCTTGTGCGATAAAAGGACTGGTTGGATTGCTGCAAGGCACTAGTTCATTTCTGGCACTTCGCATGAGGATATACTAGTGCAATGTTTTTAAACCTCTCAACATTTGGGCTATAGCAGTCAACATTGGTGAAAAGCGACACTGCATTTGGCAGTGGGAACGATGGAAAGTGCTTTTAAGTAGTCTATGCTGGTTCGTTTTACATGTACAACTCTGTTTGCCAGGCATAAAAAAGGAGAGATGATTAGGTAATATAAGCTGGCCAACTTGAGGGAGCCATATCAGGCTTGTCAGTTACCACCTGTTTGGGTATGGAGCTGTTACATCTAGCATGACTTTTGCAGTTTTATTAATATGACGAGAATTTCACAGGTTCAGTTTATATGTGTATGGTTTTGAATTGTCTGCATTTCGTATTTTTTTGGACAAAGTTCAATTCAAAGGCTACATTTTAATATAATTGGTAATGCCTTGTTAATGTCAGTAGCAAGTGCTTTCTCTAATGAAAACATAGTTTTCAATGAATAATCCAACAACACTTAATTCTCGATTTATTGCCCAACATATACAGCACTATCAATCCTACAGTACAGCGGTGTCGACTACATACTCAAGTACATCAAATAGTGACTTTGGGCTCAATTTCAAGTTCCTTCCATCGTGTTGCTTTGTGGAACCTCTTTCATTTCAGGAATTTACACATACTTGTAAACCATGTGGATAAGGCACTTACCAAGGTGCACTGTTCCCAGTATTTAAAACATGAGGCTTTCTACAGTAGTTTGTGTTGAGTTTTCCTTTCCAGCGGATTGGGTAGAGGTATGAACTGATTAAAACTTAATTGAACCAAATAAAATATATTTCTTTAACAACCGCAAAGACATTGGTCTATCACGAGTTGGAAGGAGGCTGAGCAGTAACAAGGCAGGAGTATATCTCATAGATTGGTACCACAGAGACATGCGTCTTATTTGGCACGATTGTTTTACTCATTCTACTGCAGCATATTTGTACATTCTTTGATTTGCATCCCAGATCTCCCTTGCAAAAAGAGACTTGTGTCAATGGGCTCGCCACCTGAAAGACCCACACGTGGGTGCTAGGCGAAGCAACCTCAATACACCTTATGAAATTAAATTACTCAATGCGTTCCCGAGGTTAACTTTTACAGAGTTGGCTCTTCGAGTGCACACTTTCCCTTTTACGCATGATGACATTGATATAAGCCTCCATTAACTTGGAGATTTCTGCCACCTGCAAAGAACAACACCAAAATAGTCACATATATGATATTTATGGAAATGTCAGAAATGCACAATACAAGTGTCAATTGCCAAGTCATCATACCCACCTCAGTGGTTTGGAAGATAATCTCTCGTCCATCAATGATTAGCTGGAAGGTGGGTAGGAGGGGGGTGGAGATCAGGCTCTGGTGTGCATCATCAGCTGGGGGCGCCGCCCCAAAGGAGAGAATTCGTTCGTACGGGAAGGAAACAATTGGCTCGGCCTGGCCGCGCACGTACACCGACAAGGACTTCAAGCTGACGGCCAGCCACAGCTCACGCGGGAACTGCCCATCCGTGCACTGCGGCAAAGGGAATAAAAATGGTCTCATTTTTCACCCAAAAACGTCTAAAACTTTAATTCAGAATTTTCCAACAATGTGGAAAGGAAGACAATCTTTAACTGACTTTTAGCGTTTTTAATCTTTAAAATGTGAATGTAGCTCAATCTGTGGCAATATTTTATAAACTATTTGGGTTCATTGCATATGCAAGCAATGCAGCCTCAGCCTGGGCAAGATGCTGTGCCAGCTGGGATTCCACCCACCTGCACATCAAAGAGAGTGGCACCGTAACCCGACCACTGCTGCACCAGCTGCATGTACTTGGCAACGGCCTGCTCAGGGTCCGTGTCGTGCAGGAGTCGCCACTTGGCCAGAATTTCGGCTCGCAGTGTCAGCAGCTGCCCCCTGGCATCATCCTCTGCCCGCTCCTGCCGGTCGCGACGGGACCTCCTCAAGCGCAAGAAGGATCCGGCAGCCTCGCGCAAGCTTCTCCTAAGCAACCCTTCACCCCGTGTGCTCCTCTCCACAACCCGTATAGTAGTAGAGTCGGGAGGTGCTGGAACTGTAGGAATAAAATAAAAACTTAACGATTAAACGTTTGTGTTCAGTTCTGTCTTTGAAATGTCAATGTCATACAAAAAAATCATTAAGATACTAGTCCTGTGATGTCTACTTTTTGTCTGATGTAGCATACTCACTGCTACTGAATTCATTGAATGAGAATCCTACTCCATAATGTGGAGTGGAGACAATAAGAAAACACCACCGCGCTGTTTGGGAGTCTGGCTAGCCCCAGGGGTTGGTGCACTTAAAGGTGAACCAGTTTGAAGAGCGAGTGCAACACTTGTTTCTCACAACCAGCCAGTTGAGCTGCGGAGAATAAACGCTGAAGCAATGTCAGCGACAAAAGCAAACATTACGACCTCCATGACAATTCACAAGGGAGGTCGGTGTGTTTCAAGTTCCTGGCCTAAATCCCAAAACTTGAAATTGCTTGAAACGAAGTTGTTTACTCCCCCACCCCTCCATGCAATAAAAACAATGAATACAACTAGATTCTCGCCATGTTAGGGTAAAGTATGTTGTAAAATTAAATAAAGTGACGCTATAAACTCACCCATGTCCTGGGAGAATGTGAACGGCCGGCTCCCACTGCCAGGTGTGACTGGTGATGCTGGGGTAGTGGGCGTGCAGGTGGAGGTAGCGAGGGTGCTAATGGAGCTGGAGAGGAGCATCTGTGAATGGCCCGTGGGGTAGAAGTCCTCCAGGTGCATCTCAAGCGGGGAGTTGGTGGCGCAACTCGACGCTTCGGTCTCCACGGCGGCGCAGTTGCCGTGAACAAACTGCAGCCTGAGCGCCGCCATCCACTGCAGGGTCTCGCCACTCACTGGGAATCGTCCCCGGGCCATGCTGTCATGGGCCTGGGGTAACACAGCGCAGCCAAGAAACATTCACACATGGAACATACGCTGCATATAACATGTAATAATGAAACAAGTGTGGCAGGACAGGCTAAGGGAACTGCGCAGGTGGTGTACCCCTGTAATCCAGCACTGGAGGTGAGGGTTGGTGGATCGCACATTTGTTCTGTAACTCCCTTCCCTTTGGTGCTGAAGTGTCATACCCTGGCTAGCCAGAAGGTGGTAGAGTAAAGCGCAAACTATCTATCGTCTGTTCTTCCTGTATGGCAGGGGTGGGGAACGTCCGGCCCGCGGGCCGTATAAGGCCCGCAAAATAATTTGGTCTGGCCCTGCCAAGGCAACCGCAGGTGGGACTCGAAATTCAATAAATCTAGGAGCAAACCTGGAAAAGAAGTTGCGAGTAGCAGCAACATCGTCAATACCAGCTAACATCACACGCCTCACCAAAGAGAAGCAGTTCCAGCCATCACATTAGGGGTGAGTTAATAAAATGTTTGACCAAATATAACAGGCTAATTTTTAAGTTGATAATTTTGTATGGCCCGCGAATGATGTTATAAATATCCAAATGGCCCTTGGCAGAAAAAAGGTTCCCCACCCCTGCTGTATGGGATAGCGTTGCCCCATTCGAGTGGATTTTCTTCCATACTCAGGAAATGGTTCGAGAACATCTTACAATATATACAGCTCCATATTTGTGAAGTGTGGAGTATTGTGAGATGCTGTTTGCATGAATTACACTGTAAAAAAACGCTCATTATTTATTAACTAACCTGCTCAAACATGAATGCCATTTCAATGCTGTCTTCCGGAGCCACAGCAGTGTCCAAAACAAGGTAGAGCTTGAAGAAAATTTTCCACTGGTTCTTATCCACACCCTCCCTGGTTGCTGCCAGCCTGCAGCACATGCAGTAAAGATAAACACACACATCTTAACATCATGAGAAACAATACACTTTTAATCTTGATTTGAAGTTTTCGTTACTGCAGGAATCCATACAGTCACGTAGGGAGGAAAAAAAACGACGTTTTGATCGCAACACAAGCAATCGTCATCAGGTGGAAAGATACAGCAGTAGAACTGCTGAAAAAACAAGGGTCGTGATTTATTATTTATTTTTCTACCTACGTGACTTCACCGAAAGAACCAAAGAGTATAATACACTTTTAGTTCCGCACAATTTACAGCAAAAGCTCCGCTATCTGGCATCCATGGGGAATGGAGAGTGCCGGTTAATTAAATGTCGATAATTATCTGAGTTACACTTATGGTTCACCAAATTTTACAAATACATAAAACTTTTAAAGAAATAAACCTAAACCTACAATTTAACCTCCAATTGCACGGTTGGCTATGTATGGTCCAAAATAACATTCAGTGATAAAGTCATGATACCGCACAACGCAATCACAATGGCGGATGCTTCCAATTGAGGCCGCTGGCACCACCGCTCGGCAGCATCCTGAAGCTTCCGTAAACAACATATATGAGAAGGGCACGGAAAAATAACAGATGGCTATTGGAATTTTTCCAGATACGTCAAGAAAGATTTGTATTGCCGTCATTGGCAGATGCCGGTTAATAGAGCATTCCGGATAGTAAGGTGCCGGATAACAGAGCTTTTGATGTACTTAACATACCTTGCTGTAAAACACAATCCATGTTCACATTTTCTTTGGGTCTTTCGGTAAAGTCACATATATAGGTTGAAAGAAAACAACAAAAAACGACGACGTTTCGATCGCAACACAAGCGGTCGTCATCAGGAAAAGGGGGGTTATAGCTTCTAAAGACAACTGCTTATAAAGGTTTGAAATTGGCGTAGCCCAAATGTCAGCAGTCAATGCCAATGCAAGTGGCGGGCCGCGACCGTCACGGTGGATTGGCTTTCCACCAATCAAAGGGCCACAAGCAAAAATTTACATGTCAATGCAAGATCGCCGAGCATCCTTCACGGCGAGTGCGCCAAGGTGGCCATGTTTTAATGCGGTGGGCTCACACGAAATTGATTGCGATCGAAACGTCGTAGTTTTTTCTTATTTTCTTTGAACCTATCTACGTGACTTTACCGAAAGACCCAAAGAATGTGAATTCCTGCAGTCACGAAAGCTTTAAGTCAAGACATGCTCACATTCCAAGACAGTAGTCCCGCAAAGGCGTCACGAACCTCTCAAACCTGGCCAGACTGTCCACGAGAAGGGCGTTCTCCTCGATGGCTCGCTCCCCATCCGGGCCACATTCGAACAGCGCAAACTTGCTACAGCTGCCCTCCATCCTGAGTCCTCGCAGCAGCCGAGCAACCACCTGCTCACCCCGCATGGAAGGGGCAGAGATGACATTTTCTCTGCTGCCTCCTCACGCCATGCAAATCAACCTCGCACTACAACGCACAAGCGACACACAAGCGACAGAATACCGGGAAGCTGCTCACCTCGCCTGCAGTGACGTGCGAGGTGATGGAGATTGGGCAGGAGCCCCCTCCGTGGCAGAAGATGGTGGTGCTGATCTCTTGGCCTTCGGCCAGGGCTCGGATTTCGTCGCGGGAGGGGACGCTTTGCCGGCACAGCTTGCACTGCAGCGCAGTCCACGTGAAGGCCACGTACCGGCAGAGCTCCTGGTCTCGGCTCCGCTCAAGTGCTCTGATCGTCATCGTAAGAAAACGAGCACACGATGAAAAGTGTGCGCAGAGAACCCTCTATTAAAATGAATGTTGAAGAACCATGATTGAACGGCAAGAGTAACACTATTCTCTTATAGAGAAGTACTGGCGCTACGCAGCGAATGCACATGCCTGACAGCACACGTCACCGAGCTCACCGCCGCAGGTGCAAGTGGAGGTACCGCAGCACAGCGTGACTGGGCGCGAAGGTGCAGCTGGTACACGCCAGGAGGTGCCATACTCGGAGGTTGAGGCTGCCGTCCCCCTTGCCCTCCCACGCACCCATTGTGGGCCCATCCACCCCCTCCCAAGTCATTGTCTGCTTGACCAATTGGCAGTAGAGTTCATCCCGGAGAGGGAGCAGGTCCCAGCACGTCTGCAGGATGCCCTGGACCATGGGCGTGGGATCCCGCACTCCCTCCAGTTCCAGGAGACACAGCGACAGACGCACGGCCTCCTCCGGGAGAGAGCTGTACCCATATGCTGTGCCAACATACGGACAGGACAAACAGCTCTTTGTTTACCCGGGAGACTCAAGAGTGTCAAGAATAATTTTCAGCAGAGTTCTGCATGGGATGTTTTGGAAGGTTGAGTGCCTGGAGTAAATGCATTTAAACCAGGCATAGCAGTTAAACTTGGGGTGGTGAGAAACCGTTTGTGTAAAACTAAAACAGCAATCGAAAAACAAAGCGGGAAAAAGTTTTATTCAGACGTTCTTTCAACCCACTCATGGTGAATGGGAATTGGTGGTTCACGGCTAGAACACAATACCACAACATGGTAACATGAACAGCACTTTTAACCACAACTCCGTCAGAACTCCATAAGTGGCATTTATCAGCCAATCCAGTAGTTAGATTGTAGGAATCAGACACAGCCTCTTAAAAACGAAACCATAAACATAAAATATCATTATTATACAGCTATTTAGCAATGTGGCCAACCAGAAATTGAAAGTTATTCAACCTTGGATGAGAAATGTAGTTTACTTTTTAAGCACATAATCAAGTATTTGTAATTTGCATTGACACAAATTATTTAACAAATATACCATGACTCATTATTACCGTAACTCATGTTTACAGCACTTAAGATATTTTTTTCTGTATCAGACGAGCCAGAAAAGGCTTTGGTGCTCCCCTAGGTGTGCACTCTGACCCCTGGTGTGGGTAACAAGTTGAGGCCTCGTGTGTGCGTGCCATTGCTCACGATTGGAGTGGTTGTCACCATAGGGGAGCGGCAGGAGAGGGGAGAGCAGTGCGCGGGGAGAGTAGCGCAGTATCGGGTTTCGCGTGCACGTGCGATCCACCAGGTCGGGGTCGTCACCACTCTCCTGGTGAGGCACAGGGTCGCAGGACAAAGACACGCATTAATACATACACGTGCATGCACACAAAGACCCCCCCCCCCATATATCCTTCTTAATAAGACTGCTGGGGCAAGTGCTTTTAGCGAGCACCTATAAAAGCTGGCACGGCACACGAGGGGGTGGGTGGCCAGCACCATGCCCGGCTGCCTTCGTCTCCCGAGTGGCAATATTTACACACTGCACCAGGTACTCATACGAGGCTGGGTCGACCTAGGGGAGGCCCAAGATCGGTTCAAATAATCATCACTGGTGTTGAACACGAGCGGGAATCGAACCCAGGTTGCCAGATTTGTAGTGCAGTGGCTAGCACTGATCCCCACACACACACACAACCCAGATGTCATACATACACAGACCAAATAAAAAAACACCCAAGTATAGCCTTGAACAGACTGTTGGGGTAAGTTCTGTTCGTGAGTGCCTTTGAAATAAATTAATAAAACATTCTTCCAATAATTACAAATGCTTTGTCACCTTATCCAAACACAGACAAATAGGCACATTCCAGGCACTATATATTATACATATTTGAAAACATACATCTATAATGCTTTCCAAAGGACAAACACTTACAGCGATGTCTTGGATGAGCAGTGAGGTTGGCGTATCTGCGCACCCCTTGCTGTCAATGGCCCTCTGGATGGCATGGGCCCAGCGGGTCGCCTCTCCTTGCTGCCGGCTATACAGCGTGTACGAGTCCCTTCGCCCGTACACCGTGAAGCTCCAGTTCCCTGCGGGGTGTACAGGCATAAGTCAGGCGAGATGTTAATTACCTCACCTGGCATACAGGAGGTCGTGGGTTCGATGTCTACCCTGACGCCTGCTGTATATTTGGAGTGTGCACGTTCTCCCCATGGTTGCGTGAATTTTTTCTCCAGGTCCTCCGTTTTTTACCTCCACATTTACAAATATGCATTTAGAGTATTTAGCTGCTGTAAATTTACACGTGATGAGCCACTTCGTTGAGCTATCATTTGTGGCCAGGTCGATTCTGAAAAAGAGCTATATAGCTCAGTGGGCCTTATCTGGTAAAATACAAAATAGTTAGTTTTTAGACTCATGGCCTTCCAAACGTCTCTGTGCTGTTAGCAATCACCCGCTCTGGCTGGTGTGAGGGGCACAGAGCGCGTAGCACCGCAAGCGTGGTCTTCAGGGGTCAGGCCGCCGCGTGTTGAGTATTTTTCTTCTCTCAAGCTTTCCCCACCAAGCACGACCCGCGGGAACCTTCGTGAAAGTTCACGAGTTTTAATGATTCGACAGAAGAAATGCTCAATAAGCGGCCCAACCCAGAAGATGAACATTTTGATTTTGAGTGGCTGTGGAGTTCTTGCTACTTGCCTTTCTCTAGTGAACAATATTCTGCGTTGGGTTGATACTCCGACACTCACTGATTCGCCTAAACCACTCTCACACAGTATAGTAATAGGTTTTACCCTTTTAACTGGCACAAAAACTGGCGCCTTTTGGCGTCTTCTGGTCCAACACCAGTGGAGACTAGGCTCTAAGAAAAGCCGTCTCGGGTGTGGACCAATCAAATTCAAGGACAGTGCATATTTTTATCAGAGTTGTCTCTTTTGTTTGCATTTTGACTGCTTGTGTTGTGGTTATTGCAAACATGATGCCTTGAATAAAGGTGTCAGTATCTTGTTACTGGCAAAGGAGGTCTCATAATGTAAACACTCTCATACAATTTCCTTAAAACTATTTTGTTACCGTTATAACCAGTCATTGTTCCCATTAACTTCACCCCTTGATATTTTCATCCACGTAACAGCCTCGCTTTACCAGGCAGATTGTTTCAACTGATCCATACGGTGTTTAACCACGCTAAGGTAGGAGGTAACATTTCTCGTTTTAATCTGTCCTCACACGGTTTGGAATGCCTTCCCATCATCTAATTTCCTAAGTTCCTATTACCTTACTTAATTCAATACAAGCATCACTTCTTATTTGATCCATTTTTGTTATTGCTGTATTGCTGGCTGCTTGTCTGCAAGAGAAATAAACACTTAAGTTTGGTTACCACTGCTCAGATGAGGATCTAGATACTTCCCAAGGGGACTGGGGAGAGAGGGGGGGGGGTCCAGAAATAGGACCTTACCTTAACTAAAAACACTCAATGTGTTTTCTCGAGTAGATATCAAAAAAGTACAATTTGTTGGGTCTCAAGAGTTTGGGGATGGGGGGAAGGCAGTCACACTAAAGACGGTTACTGCATCACGCGCTTTCAGATGCACTTCTGCGGCCGTCTGGAATGCTCTTCCTTCTGATATTAGGAAGCCACTAGTGCTATGCGCTTTTAAATCTCGATTGAAGACGAATTTGTTTAGAATTGCTTTTGTCTTTAGTTTGCCGTCCTTCCCCCACACATCCGATTAGCACGGTTGGCTACGTACGGTACGAAAGAAGTTCAACATACGTGCATACACACGCCCTCCACCACCCCCTTTTGGCTCCAATCCTGCCGTCGGTCGCGAGCAGCCCTCACCGGTGCGGCCCTGATGGGTGCCGTCAAGCGGGGAGACGGAGCACATCGGGGTCAGCACGAGGCAGCCGGCACGCGGAGCGTTCGCCTCGCTGCCACGGTAGTACTCGAGCGCGCCCGCCGTGAGCACGAACCAGCGCCGCCGCAGCCGAGGACACGAGGCCCACAGGGGCCCCTGGGGACCCCTCCCCGTGGGGACGAGGGAACTCGCATCCGAGGCCGAGGCCTTGTACAACCAGCCTGCGGAGGGAAGGGGAAAAAACATCGTCAGATAAAAACACGGAAAAAAACACTTCAACTCGGAAAATAGTTTAATTATAACCGCTGTATCTAGATTGTTTTTTTAATCTCTCGAAAATATGGTTTATATGATAATAATCATCAAGAAAGAGTTAATTCTCCAAGTAAAATTTGCCAAAGTTAATGATCAATTACAGAAATAGCCGTGAAAAACAAATAAAAGCAACGCTTTTATTCATTAAATAAAGAAAAAAGTTACTCAAAAACGAATTAATAGTATTTCATTCCTGACCATATACAGTACATTTTTAATCAGTGAACTTTAAGAACCGTAATTTTATTTTTTAAGATGTTATTGATGTACAGGACAGTGGTAGAGAATCCCAGAATTGGTGTTACGTGTGTGAAACAAATGTCACGAACACTGCAAAAGCTTCACTGAAAAATGTGGAATCCTGACAATTTCAAAAACACTGACTTGGAATACAAAATATATTTTGTTTATGAATTGATACATGTTTTTCAAAGTAAATATTTGCATTGTTATTATTCTGGTATACCTAGCAAAGCCTCACTGAGTATCAAGACACTTTTTAGGAGGGTCTTGCAAAGTTTTTACAGAAGGGGGCAAAATGTTGCTGCTGTGTGTAATTACAATTGAGTAATGAGCAGGTAATTTGGTTAAATACGTAGGCTTTCGCGACCAATATCATCCATAAGAGTTTTTTTGGGTTAAATCGTGTAAATATATAAATGTGTGGTCACCACATCTACGCCTCTATATAAGGAACTAAACAGTTAGACTTCTCCACAAATCTGGCTGTCGCCTGATGAAGCTAGTTGTAATTACTGGCAAAACGTCGTACTCAGATTGTAAATGTTGTGGCTTGGCTCTCTAACACACCGGTGTGCTGGACTAGTGACTAGTTGGCTGTTTCGGGTTGTGGCGGGTTTTAACGACACATTTATATATTTACACAATCTAACCCAAAAAAAAAACTCTTTATGGAAGCAACTCATTTTTCAGCATTGGTATGTTTGGCCAAAGCCAGCTAGCTAGAAGAGGAATAGCTATCGGAGGAAACAGAGAACCCAGAGTAAACCCATGGAGAACTCCTCACAAAGGCACACCCTGCATCAGGAATCAAAGCAAGCTTTATTTGCTGTTGAGGTACTTTGCAATATGAATGTCTGAATAAAACCCGCTTAAACTCTTGCGCTCAGCAATAGCCAGGGTCTCACCTCGCAGAATGATGTTGCCGCCATCGCCAGGAACGTCCCTTTTGCTTCGCTGCAGAAGCATCAGCCAGCGCTGCACATCGTCCGCAGTGTCCGCATTACAGAAGAGCGTGCGTGAGCCAGACACCAGCGCAAACGTGTGTGGTCTGAAATACAGTAACGCACGGTGTGGAACTTCAACACTCCTCACGCCTACTCGACCGCTCCTTTTCTCCTCCCCGCGAGTTGAAATGTTCCTGGGATTGGAAATCATTGGGAAATATTAAAAATGTTATCACTACTCCGTTTCAAGCAAAATAATAACCAACTTAATTGATTTTTTTTATTGAAAGCTTCCGTGACTGCAGGAATTCATATTCTTGGGTCTTTCGGTAAAGTCATGTAGATAGGTTAAACAAAAATCCATAAAGAAGGGACACCCCTTCGTCCCATCGTTTCCACCATTGACTCACCCACCTACAAAGTGGCCCGATTTCTGTCTGAGACCTTACAACCATTCACTGGTAAGACCACCTCAGCTGTACTTAACTCGGCTCACTTGGTATCGTTAATTAAGGACATCTCACTATCTCCAGGTTATTTGCTCGTTAGTTTCGATGTGGTCTCTTTGTTTACCAAAGTTCCTGTGCTTCACACCATTGCAATCATTGAAGTTTTGGTCCAACAAGGACTGAATGCTGATGTACCGGCCCTGGTGAGACACTGCCTCACCAACACTGACTTCACCTGGAATGGAACATTCTACAAACAAGTTGAAGGTACCCCAATGGGTTCTCCCTTATCTCCAGTTGTAGCCAATGTTTTCATGGAAAAATCTGAGACAAATGCCATCCAGGCATCCATTCTACGTCCGTCCTTGTGGAAAAGGTACGTAGATGACACGTTGGTCATCTAGCCACATGGCCGACCAGCTCTGAACCAATTCCTCAACCACATCAATTCCATACACCCAGCCATCAGATTCACCATGGAGGTGGAAAAGGATGGCAAGTTACCATTCTTGGATGTTTTAATCGAAAAGAGACCAGATGGCTCAATGGGACACTGTCTACAGGAAAGCCACCCATACGAATACCAACCTAAAACCTGACTCCCACCACTATCCATCCCAGAAGAATTCCATCATCAAAACTGTACACCATAGAGCTCGTTGTATTTCTGACTGTCATCACCTAGCCAGTGAACTGGAACACGTACATCAAGCTCTCAAGATGAATGGATATTCAGACTACACAATCCGTAAACCATCTGAGGACCCAATCAAAACCATCACCTTGCCATACATAGCAGGGGTCACTAAAAATATTCCAAAATCATGAGCAAACACAAGATCCAGGTTCGATTTAACACAGTACATAAAATTTGTGATCTGATCCCATCTGTGAAGGATGTGATCTCTGACATGCAATACCCCGGCGTCTACAAACTAAGCTGTGTCTGCAGCAGTTGTTACATTGCGGAAACTAACCGACATGTCTCGGACCGTGTTCGTGAACATAAGGCAGATCTGAAACACGGTAGGACCAATACCTCAGCCGTGGCTGATCATTGTTTTTATTGCGGTGGGCTCACACGAAATTCATTTCTCTAAGACGAAGGTACTTTGCAAGCCCACTGGCTATCAACAAAAATTCGTTCATGAAGCCATCCATATATATAGACACAGACACAATTTCAACCAAGAAGATGGGTATAAACTGAGCAATCATTGGAAGGACGTTATCAACCAGTTTAAGTCATAACTGGCTATGATGTTCCCATCCTACCACCTTCCGATGTTAGTTGTACTTTACGCCCATTTCAAACCTTGCGCTTTCACAGTCACTTCGCGCGCCAACCCCTTGGTTGTGGGTCTGCGATATTCCATTAACATGCTAATCTCTCTTTAACATGCAAATTTTCACCTGGCAGCCCTTTGATTGGTGGAAAACCAACCACCGCCAGGTTGGCTGCCCACCAGTTACATTATCATTGGCTGCTGACATTTGGGCTACGCTCATTTCAAACCCCTTATAAACAGTTCGCCTTGGCAGATAATCTCCCTTTTCCTGAAGACGAACGCTTGTGTTGCGATCAAAACGTCTGAGTTTTTGTTTAACCTATCTACGTGACTTTACCGAAAGACCCAAGAATAGGAACGTTTTTTGTTTCCACATTTATAAAAAAAATGGCAGCTGCTGCGGTTGTCATGGAAAGTAAACTACCCAGAAATGAGCACCTTCTCACCACACCTTGCGAGCAAACAAAGAACTCAATATTAACAGACTCATGATCAAAGTACAATTCAGAAATATATAACAAACTCAAATACAACCAGAAAATAAGTAATAACAATTACCTCGAGTTTTTATATATCAAAAGCCCCCAACCCCTACTTATGAAGTTTATAAATAGCTTATAACTAAAACAACTTACTTTTATGTGTTTAGGAGCAGAACAGGCCACACAATGTAGACTTCGCATATATACCTTGCATATATATTACACCAAAGGGAGGTTTTGGCTGTGCGTTCGCCACAGATGAAGGCTGCTTGAATTTCACCCACGCCAAATTCTCTGTCAGATAATTCGCCGAGGTAAAAAGGCAGCTTCATCAGCAGGCGCAGCTGCGAATCCTCTGAGCAGGGCTTGGCGGCGGGAGCTGACGGGCAGCAGCATCGAAGGGCAGCCGCGAGTGAGCGAGCAGCGTTTGGCTGCACGTGTCGCTACGCTGCGGCGTGAGCAGGAAGCCAGGATGTGGGCGTGCAAGCCCCCCCCCGCCCTCCAACCCCCCCCACCCCCCCAACCCCCCCCAACATCCTCCACCCCCAACAACCCCCCCCAACACCCTCCACCTCGCCGAGTGACCACGTGGTTGCAGAGTCACGCCCAGCGTGACTCGCCGCCGTCTGAGGGCGATTCGTGGAGGCGTCTCGGCACGGGTGGGGGGCGGGGGTGGTGACCGCACTGGGCTCATGGCCAGGAAATAAACCCAGAAGCCGCCCTCCCCGGCATCTCCCGCCTGGGCCTCATGATCTGGTGGCTTGGGGCGCAAGCGCACGCGATAAAACGCTGAGTTTTATCCCAAGTGCTGATAAATACTGTGCAGAAAAAAATGGAGTGTGGAGTGTCATGTAATGTTACATCTTCACGACACATAAATGTGTGTTGCTCATAAAAATTGTGGAGTTTAAACATGCTTCAACTGTCAATTACTGCACCATGTATGTGTCCACAGTCTGCCCATTTTTAATCTTTTTTTTTAAACAGTTACCGATTCGGAGGATACACTTTACTGTGCAGGTCTTTAGATTTATAAAGGCTGAATCACATTCACCCTGATTATTACTAGTGACATCGCGGGATGTCACTGTGTAGTGCCGGCCCTAGAGAGTCATGGTGTGCGGTGCATTGACATTGCGGTTACCACTATGGTGTGGGTGTAGTACCGGTCCTAGAGGGGCTCGGTGAGAGCTGATTGATAGCACTGGATGGCACCGCGCTTGGCGTGCAGTGCCAGCCCTACAGGATAGGGTGTGGGAGTGCCGACTGTAGGAATGAGGTTACTAAAGGCCATGGCACTCTGGTTGACCCGAGAGGACACGTGACTGTTTAAGTCTACAAAGGGGCCCCAATTGGGGGCTAGGGGTGGTCACGTGGTCAGAGTCCAGATCCTGCTCGAGGATTCTGGAAGGTGGTCGTGGCCAAGGGCGGAGCCAGCCACGCCGCAGATAATATAAGCCGGGTCCCCCAGAGGGATGAGCGTTGTTGTTCATCCTGAAGAAACCTTCGTCGACATTCTACGTCCTACAGAGTCGCCAACATGTGGACCTGGACCGGAGCTGTGGTCCCGGTACGTAGTAGCTAGTTACGGTGTGATGAGCGTAGTTAGCCTGGTGGTCACCACCATAGGTTGTTATTCTGTTAAGAGGCAGTTACCCCGTGTGTTGGTGTTAATAAATGTGTTGCCTCCAAAGAGTACGTCTGCGACTCGGTTGAACTCACTACGCAAGTTTAACCAAGTAGCGTCACCAGACATGGTCAATCCCGCTGCCAAATGAAGGCCTCTCAAAACCACCACAATCTCAATCCTGCGATTTAATATGAAACTGTCACATTTGGCCAAAAGTGCTAAACCCACTGAAAGTCAATGTTCACCCAATGAAAAAAGTTATTTCACTTCAGTTCTGGTGATCCGTAATGCACAAAAACAAGCAAATGCTTCTTACACTATCATTAGCTCATTATCTGACATGATACACTTACCCTAACTCACCTATTTAAGACTGTGTACAAGTTAATACTCCTAAAGGAGGTCATTTGGCACTTTCCTGATAGTGACACGATTTAAAACCTGCTATGTTTTTTTTATGAAGCGGTTAGTATTCTAAAGTTTGCTAAAGCATCAACTTAATCATTCATATCAACATTTAGGCTGAGGATGGCTACAGTATTGACTTCCTTTTTAAGCCCTTGGACATTTAACAAGTTTCACAATTGGTAAAATGATTCTGTAATTTGCAAAGATGTATATTTATTGCCACATCAACGGAATTCCAATGCTGTCATTACCTCACAACATAAGCATGACTTCAACCCCCACACCACAAGGCCCTGGTCCCCACCGAGAAAAATCAGCATTGCATAGTCTAACCAGCAAGACCTCGGCATGACACGCACACACGGGGTGTCATGACGTCACGTCAGTCACCCACGCAGTAAAGCCCATGTTCATTTAATTCTGCAAAGCACGACGACTTGCATAAAAAAACACATCGAGAAATAACCAAACAATAGTTACTCATTGTTTTTTTCGATAAAGTCACATATGTAGGAATACCATAAAATTATATTAAAACAAATCAATCACGACATTTCGACCGCAACACAAGCGATCTTCATCAGGTGTAAAAAACAAATCACGGAGGTAAATACAACAAGAAGATGAGAGACGAGAATTCAACAAACCTAAGAAAAAATATGTGATGCACAACCAGTCAGGTCAACAACACAGTTAGACACTTACCTGGCAGACCACGAATTTCAGAAGAGTGCTAAATTTCGTGTTCAACCTCTGGATTGAACATACCAGCATAGACAGAGTGAACAAATATGAGGTACAAGTCAGAAATACATATACAGGGACACCAAGAGGCAAGGATGGACAGAGAAGCAAGGAAAAAAGAGTCGGATGAACAGAAGCCTTAAATAAGAAGTAAAGGTGGGGGGAGGGGCCAAAGGTGACTTCCCTTTGCAATTGTCCTAAACGTGGTGTGCCCCTTACTTGCTCCTGCCCCCTCCCCCCCACCTCTGCTGCGTTGCAGCCCGTACTTTCTCCTGCTCCTCCCCCCACTTCTACGGCTGTGCCCTTTCTCTCTGGCCCCTCCCCCCACCTTCACTTCTTATTTAAGGCTTCTGTTCATCACTCTTTTTTCCTTGCTTCTCTGTCCATCCTTGCCTCTTGGTGTCTCTGTATATGTATTTCTGACTTGTACCTCGAATTTGTTCACTCTGTCTATGCTGGTATGTTCAATCCAGAGGTTGAACACGAAATGTAACACTCTTGTGAAATTCGTGGTCTGCCAGGTAAGTGTCTAACTGTGTTGTTGACCTGACTGGTTGTGCATCACATATTTTTTCTTAGGTTTATTGAATTCTCATCTTCTTGTTGTATTTACCTCCGTGATTTGTTTTTTACACCTGATGAAGATCGATAGTTGTAAACAAAACCAAACCTAAATAACAAACGGTATATTCAACGTTGGCGAAAAATGTGCGTCAACGTCGGTGTAAGAAAGAATTTGAATATGGAAGGCTGAAAGTAAAGACGAGTGCGGGTTAGGTGTGGCCTCACCTGTCAGGATGGTCTGCATCTGCGTAAGCCTCATCGAGCATGCCAGCCTCTAGCGAGCCCTGCAGACAGCACAACAGAACCCTTCAACACACAATTACAAATAACCCAATAAGCGACTTTCAGGTTATGTCGGCTTGTACCATTGGAAGGGTGTGTCAAGTGATGCCGGCTTTAAAAAACACAAAGACACTTGTGAGTGAACTGGTACCAGGGCTGAGTTGGGGTCAGACGACTCCTGGAACATTTTCTGGAGTTGATCTTCCGTGGCGCCTCGCACTCGTTCCAGGAGGCCGAGCCACCGACTGCGTCGAGACAAAAAAAGGTTGAAGAAAGAGATTACGAGAGAGGGAACTTGAGAGAGTGGGGGAGAGGGAGAAATTAAGCAAAGTAAAAAAAGAGAGCAGGAATGTTTTTTTGTGTGGATAATCCAATATGAGGTGTTTATAAGCAAAGGGAGCAGAGGAAGGGACTGTTCTTGGCTAATCCCTGGAATGAGGCTGTGAATGGTACACAGATGGCCAGGATGCACCGTACGTCCACCACATGGAGTGGAGTAACACAGAGTACTGCGGGGGCAGAGACCAATCCTGCAGTCCCTGAATGCACAAAGTACAAAGTGATAGTTATTTCATTTTCTAAATCTTTGGCACTGAAACAACTGGAGTGTGACTGGATCACACCGCAGCAAGTGAAAGCACAATTAAATTTGCTTCGCTACTCCAACTTGCAAAAGTTTTTATTTTATACATTTAATTTTTGTTATATAGTCATTGAAAAAAAAAGTCAGAAGGCTTATTAAATGGAACTAGACCAGCATTAGTCTAGTTAAGGGCTTTCAGCATCCTTTCTCAAAGACTATCTTTTTCATCATCTCACCTAAATAAAAGTTCCTATAATAGACAACAAATACATTGCGTTTGTTTAAATAGTATGCACTCAATAGTAAATATATTTTATTTTAATTAAAGTTTTTTGGACTTCCAGTTGGCTAACCCAGATTTGTTATGTATAGTTTTACACTTCAAAAGTCTAGACTTCTTGACACTGAAGAGAAGTGGAAATTGCAACGTTAGAAATTTCAACTGACAAAGACACAAAATGCAAGCGGTTTTGTTTATATAATAAATCTCCGAGAAGGCTATGGTCAAAGAATGGTGTGTACTTTGTGTTCCTGGCTCAGCAGGGGGTAATCAGTCACAGAAACATGGAGGTGTGGGTAGGACATCATAATGTGCCTTTCCTGTTCTGGCATGTGGTACACCACTGTGTAGTAGGGACCACTGAAAAGCCAGACACACAGGCCAGTACAACTGGTTCCCTGTGTGTCAAACACCGTCAAGCAAACGCATCATGAAAACCATCAGCACAGATTGCACTAACATGCAATTTGTCAGGAAAGAAGCAAATCATAAGCGTTTTTTAAGAATTAGATTTTGACTTAACCAGATTCACTAATGGCGCTTTGACCTACGGGACATGAATCCAATTTTTCTAATTAAAAACAGTAAACATTATGTTACAACTCTTTGCTTCTTTCGATAAAGTCACGTAGAAAATAAAACAATAATAGAATACGACGTTTCGGTTGCAACACAAGCAACCATCATCAGGTAAGAATGAATGATAAAACACAGACACGGGAACAGCATAGGCAGACACATATGCAGAGAGAGAGAGACACACACAAAGACACACAACGATTCTGTGCCGAGGCCTTAAACAGGGAGAGGACTGGGGAGGCGGGACCAGCCGACAAACAAGGGGACAAAGAGGGAGCAGTGTGGAATTCCGGACCACAGTGGCCAGAGGAGAGAATGGTTTAAAGCAGGGGTGGGGAACCTTTTTTCTGCCAAGGGCCATTTGGATATTTATAACATCATTCGCGGGCCATACAAAATTATCAACTTAAAAATTAGCCCGTTATATTTGGTCAAACATTTAATTAACTCACCCCTAATGTGATGGCTGGAACTGCTTCTCTTTGGTGAGGCGTGTGATGATGTTAGCGGGTATTGATGATGTTGCTACTCGCAACTGCTTTTCCAGGTTTGCTCCTAGATTTATTGAATTTCGAGTCCTGCCTGCGGTTGCCTTGGCAGGGCCACACCAAATGATTTCGCGAGCCTTATACGGCCCGCGGGCCGGACATTCCCCACCCCTGGTTTACAGCAAGAAAACCGAAAGTTTGAGAAAGCAATTTTAAGTAAAATTAAGAAGTGTAATGCAATGCAACACAGAGGGTCAGTTAACACAGAGTTAACGCATAGCCTGGTTGATTAACGTTCTTCCAAAAATTGCTAAATTAGAAGTCAAGTGTGATAAAACACAGACACCGAAACAGCATAGGCAGGAAAGCCTATTCTCAAGATGCCCTGTGCCTGAAGTGATAGTTTGTTCAAAACTCTGCATGGAACACCATGCTGTGTTGAAAACACTTGTGTGTCAGCAAAGAGTCTTGGCAATCTTTGTGGCCCAGAATAAGCTTCAAAGCATTTTTCTCCGATGGCAAAATTTATATACTTGAGCAGCAATGCCCAGCTGCAGGAGGCATCTCATGAAAGCAGCAACAACCAAAACTATTGGCAGCCCGTCAGCGTGTCCGTCGGTTGCAACTGCACCTGGCATCCTCTTGGGATGGAGCGCGCAGGCGGTAGGTGCGATCCTCCGTTATGACGTCGAAGCAGTTCTCCCTGTGCTCGTCACCAGACACCTCCCTGCAGACACAGACCAAGAGTGAGTTGCGTGGAACAGGCAGAAGCCATCGGCAGCGCACGTTCATCTCACTTGTGACCCATTAAACACTGTAATCGAATATTAATGTCTGGCTTTAAAATTATCTGACGGTGTACTTCATTCTTGTATTCACTCTATGAAATAATGACTTATGATTTTATCCAATTATCTGTGTAAGCCCTTACTGGAAGTCAAGTTCCTTTTTCAAGGTGATAGTTTGTTAAAAAGGAGGAAACGAACACTCATCATACGAGATGGACTGATTCTACGGTTGTACTGCCATCTCCTGTTTATCCTGCAGCCCAAGCCTACAACACGTGGTATTCCCAGGCAGTCGGCCAATGCAATTACTAACCAGATTCAACTATGCTTCGTTTTCAAGATCTGATCAGATCAGGCATTTTAAGGTTGATCCCATTGTAGGCAAACACCGAAGTGCACACAAAAGTGTACACTTCAGTGTTATTATGTAAGAAACATTAAATTCAGAACAAGTGAAATATAAGTACACTTAACAAAACATTAATTGATTCAGAATTTTTCTCCTAAATTCATTCAATCGACCTTAATCACATGGAACTTTTCGCCTTCAAACCCTTTGTTGGTTTAAAACTCAAAATAAAGAACCTCTCTAATTTTGACTACACACATTGCATGTTAAAAAGACAGAAGTGAAAGCAGAAATGTATGTTAGATGCCACCAGCACAGCCCAATGTGGAATAATAACTCACAGGAGGCCCTGGGAACACAGAGTGCGTCCATGTGAAGCCACGTGACCTACCAGGGCTGCCTGAAATGGCGTGGGGGAGTGCGTGGGAGTGCGTGGGAGTGCGGGCGGACTCAGGGGACCTGACCTCACAGACGCGAGATCGATGGTACCGCGCTGCCTCTCCTCACGATCACTGTCGTAGTATGCCAGGCCGGAGGGCCGCAGCACGAACCAGCGGCGCTTCCAGCTGCGGCGAGCAAGGCGCAGTGGTGGCCGCCCCTGTCCCTGCTTGTCCAGCCACCCGGACAGCGTGGCCTCCTGGCGCGTGCGGAACCACGTGAAGGTGCCCTCGCTCAGCACGCACCATCGCCGCTTCCACGCAGCCGCCAGGCTCTCTGCTCAGGGGCATCGGCCGGCACCAGGTGTCAAACTCACGCGATTTCGCTACGATTCATCTGCTAGCATTCAGGGTTAGTTAATCGTTTTCAGATAAACGTTCAGCAGGTGAAATGTTGTTTCATACTGACAAGTTTCTATCTTGCATCAGCTGGCCAATTTTACAATTGTCTTATTCTGTGATCCTCCAAAATAACATTTCGAAGAAGTACTTATTTAATGATGTCCATTATTTATTCCGTTTGCTCCAGAAACATTTTTTCCAGTACTTCCTCTTATTATTATTATCTAATTGTTATGTTTGGCTTATTTGGCCCATTTCATATTTTTACTCTTCATCAGACATGTTAGTAAGAGGACGTAAACAAACAAAATTCAGTGAAATAAACTGGATTCACTATAGCACAAGATGATAACTACACCACTCATCGATATGTGCACAGACATACGTGTACGTTGCACCCACACAAATAAACACATTTACACTACAACTACAAAGCCATTCTGATCTGAAGGGATGGGTCAACACACCCATTTGCCAACATTCTTTCTCAACGTGAGATAACAATCATACCTTGACATTTACTGCATGAAAGTTGATTGTTTTCTTCTCGAGTACATTTCAGTTGGTGACACTGACAGGTGTTCCCTGGGACTGCTATGCTTGCACGCTCATGCACGTGTATGTGCGTGCGATTTGCGCATGCAAGCCTAACAGTGTCAGGCAGCACATACATACGGGTGTGTATGTGCAAGACGAACTGTGCCAGGAAACACACGATTTGCGTGTGTGCATGTGTGCAGGCATAGCAGTGCCAGGGAACACACACACATTGGTGTATGTGGGTGTGTGTGTGTGTACTGGGGAGTGGTAGTAAAGTGGTTGCCAGCAGCCCGAGTGCGATTTCTGCTCACAGCCAACATTGGTGACAGATATCTGGACTGGTGCTGGGCCTCCCGTAGGTTGACTCAGCCTAAAATGTGTACCTCGTGTGGTGTTTGTTGCGTGTGTGCCTGCTTGTGCGTGTTCACCCTGGAGAGAGAGGAAACCCTGGTGGAAGGGGGCACCGATGCTGCTGTAGACAGACTCGTCCTGCAGTGTGGACTCTTCGTCCGACACGCCGCTGCCTCGCGCCACGCACTCCCCCTCACTCTCAAACTGGGTAAATGCACGCACAATGTCCACAACATTGCTGCATTCATGACAGGTGTTAGTGCATGATTTATATAAGCCAGGGCACTCGCTTGCAGTGCCGTGGTATAAATGGCGCTTTAATTTACACTTATGCAAGCACCATATTTTAGAGAGCTTTTTAAGACTCACCGATGACAACTGTTCCCCTGGGTTGCCCCATCCTGTGGCCGAGTTATTTCGGGAGAAATCCTCTCTGAAGCTCTCCTGGTCCGTGCACATGCTGTTACGGTACAGTTCCCCTTTGCAGCTCCTGTTTTGGGTATCCGTTACACTGGGTGAGATTAAGGCGTCCTTAATGCCTTCCCTCTCAAAAGCCGAAACGTTTCCCTTCGCCGTTCCTTCGGAGCTTCCCCTGGCTCTGGCGGACTTGGTGCCAGAGCCGAAGGAGAAGCGATAGGTGCAGTCCAGCGTCACCGGCCGACTGCTCTGCGGCACCTGAAACGTGGTGCTGCAAGTGAACACTGTATCGTGGTTCTCCACCGTAGAGTAAACGTTCTCCTCGTCCGGGTTCGTGTGGGGGGAGCCCGGCTCGGTGGAAGCTTCGCTGCTCTTGTCTGCCGGGTCGGCGGGGCGATTGCTGAAGAATCCAGAGTCGCTCACTCGCTTGTTGTCCACCATGGCATACTGGACGAGGGGGTTGCATGTGGCGGGGGTCACTGCGGTCAGTGGTGGCACCATCTCGTACACGTGGGTTTGGGACTCTAGTTCGGATGCCAGCTCATACCAGTACGGGGCGCTGGGCACAACTGCAGCGTCACAGGCTCGGGGCGAGGAGGCTGGAGACGCTGCCGCTTTGGCAATGCCGACATCCATCGTTTCGTTTGCGTAAAGCTGCTCTTCAGAAGAAAAGTCCACCTCGCTACAAGTGTGAGCGCCGCTCGTTCGTTGATCGCTCAGCTGCTCGACCACATCCAATCTGATAGCCGTGGGCTTCGACAGCAAGGCGGCATCACGGTACAGCACCTCCTCCTCAGCTCCAAAACCCTCGTCCTCATCCTCATTTCTGCCAGTTTCATTAACAGCGGTGGATGCTCCACGTGCGGCAGGTGTTGTCAGCTCAAGCTCTGGGATTTCAGCATACTCGTTCTCCAGCGGTCCCTCGTTTTCCTGATGCAAGCCCTGGTCATTTCCGGTGACTTCTGTGGCGAAAATGGACTTGCTGCCCTGTCGAACAGGCAAAGGTGGACACACAGCCTGTGCTACGTTTCCTTCAAGGGACTCTTCAATGCTGTGGAGGATGTCGTCAAAGCGCAGAGACTCCAAAAACTCGTGGCCTGCCCTGGTGGCCTCGGCGTCAAGCCACATGGCCTCCTCTGCACCCAGCAGTGGGGGGCCATGCTCCTCTGAACTGTATGGTGAGACCACTTCAGTCTGCCCACCAGCAGAGCATTGCTCCTGCTCGCCGCAAGTCTCGGATATGTTCTGCGATCCAGTGGCGATGGGTTGAATGTCAGGAAAACATTCAGTGCAATGCGGCAGTGCCACATTGACCTGCAAAAGTTCATCAAATGCTTTGGTAACGTCAACATCTAAACCTGTTTGATTACATTGCACTTCCGAAATTGTGCCTGTAAGTGGCTGGGCCATCGGTTCCTTGTCAAGAGGCAACTCTAACAAGTGGAACTCTTCAGCTTGTTTCATGTGCAGCATATCTGGAAAAGCTAAGGTACCATCCTCATGACAACTGTCAGAAACCCTTGTAATCACAGTATCATCCTTCTGCACCACATTCAGGTTTAGGTCATTTGCAGAGCCAATAAAGATACCAAACTCTGCCAACTCATCAGATTGCCCTGACCCACCAATGTCTGTTTGAAAAGTGTCAGTGGCCATTTCTCTTGCAGGCAACACCAAGTGGTTTTTATGACTTCTCAAGTACACGGATTCATGGTCAGTAGTCAATACTTCTGGGACAGGACTTTCCTCCATTCTTAACACCGTGGCTTCCTCCACGCCTTCAATGGCGAGCGACTCTGTACCTGTGTGAGAGGTTTTGGTGTTGTCATTGAGTTCAATAGGAATGTTCTCATCCGTCAGGACGGATGGCGTTGTAATCTCTGCTGTGCCTGGATAATCCAGCCTGGCTGGGCTTGGCGGACACGCAAACTCCACGCCCGGTATGGAGGCGACACATGGAGTCAAGCAGCAGGGAGGGATGGCGCTTGTCCCTGGGAAGGCGCTGGTGGCTGTGAGCAGCAAGTAGCGCCTCCGCCAACGGTGGGTGCGGTAGCTCCTCTGAATGGTCAGCACACTCTGCAGCACCGTCCTGTACCACTTCCTGCATCGCAGGGAATCACAAGCAACCCAAACAATAGCAAAACACTAAATCAACTGTATTGTATAAATGAATAGCCTTAAAATAGGAGTTTTTTTTCACGTGACTAAATGACACCCAAAAAACACATTGATTACATTTTAAACTAGATTCGAAGCTTTTGTGACTGCAGGAATTACTCTGATTCTTTCGGCAAAGTCACGTAGAAAATAAAATAAGATAATAATAGAATACGACGTTTTCGATTGCAACACAAGCAACCATCATCAGGTAAGAATGAATGATAAAACACAGACACAGAAACAACATAGGCGAACACACATGCAGTGAGAGACACACAAAGACACACCGAGCAAGACACACACCAAGACTTCTTAATTTTACTAAATTTGCTTTCTCAAACTTTAGATTTTCTTGCTCTAAACCACTGTCTCTCCTCCGGCCGCTGTGGTCCGGAATTCCACACTGCTCCCTCCTTGTCCCCTCGTTTAGTCTGCTGGTCCCCGTATTTGTCCGCCTCCACAGTCCTCTCTCTACCCCGGCCCCTCCCCCCCTCTCTATTTAAGGCCTGGGCACAGATTCGTTGTCCTTCTGTTTGTCTTGGTGTGTGCCTCTCTCTGCATGTGTGTCTGCCTTATGTTGTTTCCGTGTCTGTGTTCTATCATTCATTCTTTCCTGATGGTTGCTTGTGTTGCAATCGAAACGTCGTATTCTATTATTTGATTTTATTTTCTACGTACATTTTAAACATTGGCTCTTCAATATAACTGCGGCAAATACTCTTCTTTATATTAGCCCTTAATTAAAACGTCTTTAAATATATACTTAACAACTCCCACAGGCGTATATGGCAATACACATCCCGCGAACAGTAGACCGATATAATTGCTGTGCAAGCTATGACACGACCACGGCGTCTTCTTTGGGATAACCAGGCAGCTGAGGGCTCCGGCCCCACCAACACAACTGCTTGCCTTTGCCCAGGGCAAAACAATCCAACAAACACCTGTGCACATTTTCAGGCTGTGTTGACGCTTCTATTTTGTTCAGAATGAGTGCATGTCTGCAACAACTGCAACAACTCAAATGCTACGTTGTCATAATGGTGCCAATTATTTAAAAGCCCTTGTGGTGAGGAGATATATTTCCATTTGGTTGCAGGTAATGTTGTTCGAAAATACACAGTATATGAGTAACAAAGGTTTTTTTGGCAGTGGATTGTTCGTATTAAAACTTATATTCAGGTCGCAAAGTGTTATGGGGTTAACCTACAACACTTGGCAGGCACAACATTTTTAGTCCAAACGGGGAGCTGCAGTGGTGCAATGGTTAACATACATATTAACATACATATTCTTGGTTCTTTCAGTAAAGTCACGTAGAAGGGAAATAATAAAATAATAAAAATATTAAAAATCTACATCAGGTGTAATGATGATTGCTTGTGTTGTGACTTTACCGAAAGAACCAAGAATATGAATATGAATCCCTGCAGTCACGAAAGCTTTAAATCAAAGGTTAATATACTTGTTTTAATAATCCTTCCGGTGAAGTAGTTGATACACAGGGCACATTTCCTAAAACCAAACACATTGTGGCATCGAGTAAAGCAGAATTCCCACCAAATGAAATACGTGGGGACCTGTGAAATAAACTCCCAGCAGAAAACCAATGTGGGTGGGGCTGTGAAACTATAACTGCGGCGGGTGCCCATCTGTTGGTCTGGACACGTGGGCATGAGCGCCGCCAAACAGTGCGGGGCCCTCACCGTGTGGCGTAGCCGAGCGCGTGGGCACGGATGACTGTGGCCGCCCTGTGCCGCTCCTCGTTGCGTTGTCGCTCCAGATCCCGCTCCAAACCCTCATGCATAAACACCTGCTCCAGCAACAGCACGCACAGCAACAACGATCCCCCGTCTATTAAGCTTTGAATTTGAATAGACTGCTGCAGCAACTGCTGTTAGCAGGAATATGTGAAAGCTGACACAGCGAATGAGGGGGTGGTGTGGCCAGCACGGTGCCTCGCCACCTTTGTCTCCCCATTGTTGATATTTACACACCCCGCCAAATACTCTTTTAAGGCTGATTCGACCAAAGGGAGGCCCAGGATAGGTTCAGCGATTGATGTTAGCCATGAGCGGGAACGAATTCAGGTCGTTGAGTTCAAAGTGCAGCGAGCTAACCAATACACACTACATGCATGTGCACACACGCATGCATATGTATGCACCCATATATGTGTAGTGAGTGGGAATGTCACTCTGTGGTGCCGGGCCTGCGAGGCCACGGCGGGATGTGTACTGTTGTGTGTACACCCCAGGGACACGGGGTGTAGTACCAGCCCTAGTGGGGGCTTGGGTGAGTGCTGGTTAAGCACGGCGGCACCACGCACAGCGTGCGGTGCGGGCTCCCGTTGAGAGAGTGTCACAGCCAGCTAGGGTTACGTTGGGGCCATTATACTCTGGCTGACCTGGGGACATGTGACCGGATGATACTGGAGTGGGGAGGGCCGCGGGAGGTAATTACAGGGGAGTCAACCTACAGTGCGAATGCACTAGTGACCATGGGAGGTAATGACAGGAGTGTCAGCTGTGAGTGTGAAGGGACTGGTGGCTATGGGAATGATCGAGAAGGGAGCGCGGTCAGGTGACGGAAGAGGACGGTAGAATCTGCTGGTGGAGCGAGCGTCCAGAGTCAGCGAGAAGGTTCGGGAAAGGGGGCATGACCTCGGTCCGTATACAAGAAAAAAGCGCAGGAGACTCGGGGCTGTTGCAGTGGGGTCTCCGCCTGTGTCAAGTGAACGTGTCTTCAATAAAGAGCCATCTCAAGAAAAGTGTGTCAAGTCGTCTTTACATATGCACACATGCAAACAAACATGTACGCATATACAAACGCATGTACACACACAAGTTTTCAGGCACCAGTATACAAAGCGCAATTACAAAACAATAATGACCAATTACATAAAACCTTCATGTATGCATTATTTTGTGTTTGTAGAACTACATCAATAGTTTTAAAATAGAAAATCCGAGTCTTAAAGACAAATAACAGAGGCCACAAGTTCATTTAATAGTCTGAGGCCACCCCAGATGAAGTCATCCTGGCCTGGGGAATGCTGTAGCCTAATTGGAGTGAAACACGATCATTACTAATGACGAGCGGTGCCTAGGAGGGCCGCCGCATCCGCTCCTCATGCATACCGGCTCTAAAAACCTGCCAGCCGGTGCTTCTGTAGGAGTTAAAATTAATGACAAAAAACATACTGGACACAAATGCCAAAAACTCTTTATATGATCTCCAGTGATATGCTCAAAGCTCTCTGAAGTAAAATCTGTGCACAAACATGCTTGTAATCAATCCTTGGCATCAAAGACAAAGACCACCCCCCCCTCCCCACATAGCCTTAACAGACTGTTCTGTTGGGGCAAGTTAGCGAGCATCTATGAAGGCCGATACAAAACACGAGGGGGTGGGATTGCCAGCACTAATTTGAGGCCGAATCGACCTAGGGGAGGCCCAGGACGCGTTCAGATAATCGTCACTGGTATTGGCTACGAGCAGAAATTGACTTGGGTCGCTGGGTTTATAGCGCAGCACCCTAACCGCTATACTACCACTCCCTCGCAATCCTTGCCATCTCCCCCCTCCTACACACGCATTCAGCACAAAGTACTTTACTGTGTAGCACACAATGGGAACTGGCTTCCCTTTTAGGGTCACAATTCCGGTGATGACAGACCATGTTTTGCCAAACACACAATAAAAATGTACTGGCAATGTGTGCCCTCTCATTGGAAATTGAGGCACTTATGGGAAATCACACAGGCTGAGTAAGCCTTTATTAACCACACTGACAACCCAGGGCACAGCACAAAACACAGAAAATAGAAGAAACATAGGTGAAAAAACATACAAAAATGTTTCCATCAAATGCACTTATTACAATTTAGCTTCTGAACCTATTTCCTTTAGACCACACAGAGTGGCAATGTAACATGATAGGGATGCTTTCCAAAGGCTGGAATATTGTCACATGATGCCAGCTGGCTTTGCAACTCAGTGTAGGTACCAATGTGATTTTTTCACACCTCAGGCATGACCTGTCATGCCTTTGCTGCCATCCCCTCATTTCCTGTCTCGCAAAGGCTGCTGGGCTTCTTCTGCCAAGAGGTTTAACAATTTGAAAAAAAAATCTTCCTGCAGCAGAAGACACATTTATAGCATTTCCTCGAGAACCCTGGCTTACACAACATTTAATTGTATTATGTTGAGATTAAGCATGTACAAATTCACCACAAATGTGGACTCTCCTGAAAATTGGGATATTTAAGTGGTGGTCATGGTTAAAAGCATATTCCCCTGTCTGGGAAACACAGTTGTGCAGATGCACAGGAGTGTACATGACCAATCTTACATCACATACAGTGAGGGAAAAAAGTATTTGATCCCCTGCTGATTTTGTACGTTTGCCCACTGACAAATAAATGATCAGTCTATAATTTTAATGGTAGGTTTACTTGAACAGTGAGAGACAGAATAACAACAAAAAAATCCAGAAAACCGCATGTCAAAAATGTTATAAATTGATTTGCATTTTAATGAGGGAAATAAGTATTTTTCTTGAGCAGGGGGACCTTGCGGGCGCTGCAGGATTTCAGACCTTCACGGCGTAGTGTGTTACCAATTGTTTTCTTGGTGACTAAGATCCTCCCGTGTAGTTCTGGGCTGATTCCTCACCGTTCTCATGATCATTGCAACTCCACGAGGTGAGATCTTGCATGGAGCCCCAGGCCGAGGGAGATTGACAGTTCTTTTGTGTTTCTTCCATTTGCGAATAATTGCACCAACTGTTGTCACCTTCTCACCAAGCTGTTTGGCAATGGTCTTGTAGCCCATTCCAGCCTTGTGTAGGTCTACAATCTTGTCCCTGACATCCTTGGAGAGCTCTTTGGTCTTGGCCATGGTGGAGAGTTTGGAATCTGATTGATTGATTGCTTCTGTGGACAGGTGTCTTTTATACAGGTAACAAGCTGAGATTAGGAGCACTCCCTTTGAGTGCTCCTAATCTCTGGGATCCAGAAATCTTTCTGATTGAGAGGAGGTCAAATACTTATTTCCCTCATTAAAATGCAAATCAATTTATAACATTTTTGGCATGCGTTTTTCTGGATTTTGTTGTTGTTATTCTGTCTCTCACTGTCCAAATAAACCTACCATTAAAATTATAGACTGATCATTCTTTGTCAGTGGGTAAACGTAGAAAATCAGCAGGGGATCAAATACTTTTTTCCCTCACTGTAAGTGGGTGTGTGTTCTCCTTTGCGAACATGCAATCCTTTGCATCCCTGTATGTGCGCGTGTGGTGTTGGCCGCCCAACCCCATGCGTACCGTGCCGGGCTTCACAGGTGCTCGCTAACATCACTTGCACAAACAATCTGTTAAGGCTATATGGGGATCTTTGTATGTCCCTATGTATGTGTGTCCCCATGTATGCGTCTCCGTATGTGTGTGTAGTGAGTCCAACTGAGTCGCAGACGTTGTCTTGGGAGCAACACTATTTATTACATCAACTTAACACAACATAACGTAACCTACACTCGGGTGTTGAACGCCCATCTAACCACGCTACGGCAGAACTAGACACGGTCCCGCTATCCCAGTCCGGATCACGAGCTGGGTCCCGGACCGCATGGCTAGAGGCTTCTTCAACCCGACGTGGATCTTCTTCACCAACAACCCGAAGAACCCCGAGCCCCTTACGGGGCCCCCGTTATATCGGCCCGGGCTGGGGCTGGTTCCGCCCCTCGCCCCGCCCACCTTCTAGATCTCTCAAGCTCTTTCCCGAAGGCTCCCGAGAGCTCCTCTATACCACGTGACCACCCAGCGGCCCCCGTCCACCGGTGGCCCCCCTCCAATATTATCCGGTCATGTGTCAGCAGGTCAACTAGCGAATCATGCCCCAACGTAACCCTGGCTGGCTGACACTCTCTCTCGCTTCCTCACCGGGAGCCCGCACCGCACACACTGTACTTGGTGCCTCCGCGCTGATCAGCGCTCACCCAAGCCCCGCTAGGGCTGGTACTCCGCCCAGTAACCGGGCTGCACATAATGACAACATATTATCTGCCGTGGCCTCGACAGCCCGGCACCACACAGTGAAATTCACAGTCACTACATGTGTGTGCGTGTCCACATTTGCAATGCTACCTTACCCTGCTCTTGCCAAGCTGCCACTGTGTTTCCGAACTGTCATAAACGCGCAGGAACGAGACACAGCGGCTCCTCGTGTCCTCCGGCAGCGCTAGCTTCCTCATCAGCACGCGATATCTGTGCTCGACATCGCACCACACATGCACACAATTTCTACTGTGATATAAATGCGAGTGACATAATCACGATTTTATAAGCAACTCACAACAATGTTTCTCAAAGAGACATAATACTCAGATATTTCAGGTTTGAACAAGAAGTACTCCATCAATAATGGAACGGCTAAACCGATATTGCAAGAAGACATTAGCAAATCACACATCAGAATGGGAATCAGAAAATTAGCCGTGTTTTTGCCTAACTTACACAAGTGAAATGCACAAAATGCAGAAACCATTACAACTGTTGCTTCCACCATTGCAACCAAACACAATTTTATCCTTAGAAGAAGAAACATACATGAATCTATATTTTGTTAAGGTAACAGATACATTTTATAATGCTTGATTTTTTAAATGGTTTTTGTGTTTTGCTAAACAAAGCTGGAGGTCGGTCCTACAGGTGTGTGCTGTCCAGGCTATCTGCGTGCGTACCTGTTGTGAAATTCGTGGACGTCTCTTCGAGCTGGGAAGCCGGCCTGGCGCAGATGCACCATGCCCAGCACGCCAGAAAAGCGCAGCTGGCCCAGCACGCTCGCCTGGTCAAACTGCTCTGGCATCTGCCAAGAAAGACACCGATGGGGAGAACACACACACACAACTTTCAGAAGGAGACAAAGACCCTCTGTGAACCATGCAGGCTGGGTGGCCAGAACCACACGTGGTTGCCTTTGTCTGCCCAGGGCTGATGTTGACCAACACCACCGGATGTAAAAAGCTCATTTTAGGACGAGTCAAACCAAGCAAGGTCCAGGCTAGGTACTACATCACATAACACTGCAGATGTCCATGGCTAGCAAACGAAAGACTACAGTGAAGGCCACTATTACTACACACCCACAGCACATAGCACAGAGCAGAGGCATGACACATAAAAATAAGCATGACACACAAAAACAAGTACACACAGTACCATAACCATATACCCCCCCCCCCGCCCGCAATACCACACCATATACATGCAGCCACACACGGCCACACATATGCCCACACACAGCAATACACACACATGTAGCATACACACGTTTCAAGGTTGGACAAAATGTCATCTGAGCAGTGTTAGGATTTGAACCGAAATAAAAAAAAATGGTTGAAGTGTTTAACATATTAATTATTCGTCTCAATAAATAAATAAATGCATACAATATACATCATTATGATTCAGAAATGGCGACATTAGTATTGAGGGGAAACAATAGTACAAGCGACTGGCACAATGCCCTATGAATCTGGCGACCCGGGGTTCGATTCCCAGCCACAACCAACATAAGTGGCGAGTGAAACTTGGTCCCTCCACTTGATCAATCCACACCAACCATCGTGGTGAAGTATGGTTAAACAATCCCCATTACCTAAGTGGCATAGAGAGGAGCTTTCATCCAGCAGTAGATTGATAAAGGGTTTCGATTTAAAGCTTTCGTGACTTCAATGATTCATCTTCTTTGGTTCTTTCGGTAAAGTCACGTAGAATGAGAATAAAATAATAAATTGATAAAATATTATTATTGTGTTATTTTATTTTATCAATTTATTATTTTATTCTCATTCTACGTGACTTTACCGAAAGAACCAAAGAAGATGATAAAGGGTTGTATATGATTATGATATTTGTATTGTAACAGTAATAATATTACAATATCTTATATGATGCATAGTATATAATTATTTTCAATGAGCTGTTAAAAACCAAAATGAGCAGGTTAAAAATCCTGAATGATTTTGACTCAAGCAATTCCACAATATAACTCACAAAACTCTTGTTCAATTTTACCAAGCGATTCCCCAAACACGTATTAAGCAAACGATATTCACCTCTTCAGTGGGTGGTAAAGGTTTACAACTCGATGCATGCCATTCAACAAATGGCATGCAGACTTACGAGAGTAAATTTGCAAGTCAAGGTTTTTTTTTTATTGCTTATCAGTTGGAAGGAAACCACAGTCAAACTTCCAACAAAGCAAACAGTCCCACTTCAATGTTAGAACATTAGAAGTTAACCGCTAATGTTAAAGCAATCAAGTACAGGAAAGCGATCGAGGGCTACCGCTGTTGATTGAGATCGGTACCTGGGTTGCAAGCAGTTGCATGCAGCCTGTGAAACGCAATCCACAAAGAGCTTCCATCAATCCCCTCGGCCTTCAACCCTCCCCCTGTCCGCTCCATGTCCCACTCCAAATTTACTCTAGGAACAGCACTTCCTGAGTGGCTGGTCACTGGCTGGGCACTGGTGCTGGGGTGGGAGGGGGGCATTCCTGTCCAGTCGGTCCACATGTTTTATGGCTGCAGAGTAAAAGGCCAGGCCAGCCGGTAAGCACGTTTATCAAGTCACGCCAAAAGACGTGGGCATGTTTGGATTGCTGCAGACCGGTGGTCAGCCGTACACTCTAAAATAACCTCACCGATCTTTCTTACCTATATAACCTCTAACCACGGCAACTCTCTCACTTCAGCAAAAAAACAAATTCTTGCTGTGGTTTTCCCACCTGATGATTGCTTGTGTTGCAATCGAAACGTCGTGATTTAATTTATTTTATAACTACATGACTTTACCAAAAGAACCAAAGAGTATGGATCCCTGCAGTCACGAAAACTTCAAATCTAGATTGAACTCACCAGTATGTTCAACAGTGTTTGGCCGAATTTTCTTCCCTGCATCGTTAATCCCAATTCGAAATGTATAGGAATTCTTCATTTGCACTTTTTGTAATTTAAAACTGATTTTATCATTGCAAGTGTTTATTTAATGTTTCCAACAGCATAGTTGTAATGGAAGTTGAATATATACTGTATGTACTCATTATTTACTAGGTATAGGTAGCCAGTTAGTACTTAAAAACTCAGCCAACAATATGTAAAGTGTGTTAAATCATAGATGATTTGCATGTAACCTGCAGGAAATAAAAATTAGAGGGGCATGTTTTCTCATGGAAAATGAAACTAGATACGTCCGTGGAAGCCACCAGCTCTCTTTGGCCACCATCCTGTGCCCTAGTGCCCTACCCACTGGTCAGATATTCATGGTACCTGTGATGACAGGACCTCTAAGCAGCTGCAGTATTTCAGCACTCCTCTTATGCTGCCAGATTTGTTTATTTTTCCACACCTCTAAAATTCTGAAGGTTGTCAAAACGCCAAGCATACCGCTGTACCTCGAAATGGTTTTGTTTTAAACATTAGTATGAGTAATCAATTGCAATGTTGCTTTTATTGATTAAACACTTGCCTTGTCTATACATGGGAGATCAACGTCATCACAGCTGGGTGGCTACTCCTGGATATTAGTTCCAGAGGTGGCTCTAATTCACACTTATCCCTGTGTGTGGGGCACCCTTCATAATTTTAACTTAGTTGCTTTTTATATTTACAGTTAGTTAACTTTGAAAAAAATGCAGGCCTGTTGAACTTCGTTACACCCTTCTTATTTAGTATGCGCATCATAAAATCGCTGAATTTGCCATGTTTGAATGCCAGATGCAAGGGTTATAGTGATTCTTTAAGAAACCCATGGAGATAAAAGGACATTTATCTGCAGGCACCCAATTGAAATACTCAGTAAATATTCACCAAGCTTAAACAGATAGCTGGGCTCACAGCAAGCATCTGCTGCTGTTATTCAGAGCTTAGTTGGGTTTTTTTCAAACAAAAGGCTAGAGTGGGAAGGACGATTGTGGCCAGGGTGTAAGTGAGGAGGGCCAAGTAATCGGTTCGAGCAGAACTTCTAAAACCACTATAAATGAAGCATTGCCTTGTGATGTTTTGCTTCTACCAAGCCAGAAGCAGACTAAACTGAACTCTAAAAAATAGCAAAAAGGGCAGTCATGGATTTAAATGAGGTTTTTTTCTCTCAAAGGTGCAATTTTCATAAATTACTAACACGTATCTACTGCACTGCATTTATTTTTACTTGGACATCTCTTTAAGTCCCATCACGCTTGGGCTCACTAGAAACGTGACTTCACATTAATACTTGAGGCATGTGGCGTGTACAGTCTGAGTGATGGGACTCGGCTTCAGACAAATTCTGGGAGATGAGTATGAATATTGGTGCTGTATATCAGTAGGTGTGATGGGATTTGGACACAATCCAAACTGCATGGCACACGGGAACATATTCCAAAGCCTGATGCAAAGCACATTTCCACAATGACAAACAGTAAACATAAATACTATTACTGTATACAAAACTAGACGAATCTTCAAAGGCATGACATCTGGATGAAATGCGAGCGAATGGATTGAAAGTTGACATGGCAATGCACAACAGAGAATTAGACTTAAAAATAGTATGTACAGATGGGAAACATTTGCAAGTCGTTTTTGCAGATGTGACCGTTTCAAATTTTTTTTTTACGAGTATGAAAGGAACAAACAGCACGATTGTGAAAAAGTTTATGTTAACATGGACTGAAACGCTTGTTGGAGCAAATTAAGAATTTTTGAAAAATTATCAACTTCCACAAAATACTTATTACCGAGTCAAAGTTAACAAACAGAAATGACTGTTATGTTAATGGCACAAATTTTACAGCATATTATTCCAGTAAAAACTTCACTGATTGCATGCTCTCTTTCTCTTCCCATATATCTCAACTCTGCAGTACCTCATACAACTATCAGCACAACATTTGACACATCCAATAATCTGCGACTTGAGAGATCTTTAGCAATTGTCACATGAGAATGCAACCTCCCACTCACCATAATCGACACCGATTCAGTCAAGAGAAAGCAAACATGTGTTCGAATTAGTGAATGGTTATACAGTATTTCAAGTCAGCTGAGAACTCAGAGACCAGGATAAGTCTCATTATTTTCAAGAATGACAGAGGTCACCAAAATCGACAAAAGCAAAAGGTATCTATTGTACTCTCCAAAATAATCTGAGCAAAAGCTGCACGAACCCAGTGTCACACATTTGCAAGGATATGATATATTTTATATATAAATAAATTTTAAACGAAATACATTGTGCAACCCAAGAGGGCATGGGAAATTACCATTAAAACCACGTGTTGAAAAATAAAGTTATAGAAACATTCAAATGTATTTACGGCGATTATTGTACAAGAATGCAATAAGGCAAAGATGTCTGTCAAATTAAATTGTAAGTGGAGTTATAGGTTCTAGATTTGAAGCTTTCGTGACTGCAAGGATCCATACTCTTTGGTTCTATCCGGTAAAGTCACGTAGGTTTTATTTTTTTACCTACGTGACTTTACCGAATAGAACCAAAGAGTATGGAGTTATAGGTATTGACAGTTTAGCACCCAATTGTGATATTTAAGTGTTTAATTGAGACTCCGCTAAAATTGTGGCTGTTTGAAGCGATGGTGAGGAAGTTAATTTGAAATGCTTGCTTCTGCAGATATCAAAACATGCATCACATTAACACCCACAAGACAGGTCTATCCATGTATGTAGAGCTTTTAGCTTTTCCTCCGACAGGTTACTCGACTGTAATATACAAAGCGATCATTCCGTCTCTATCGACTCCTATGCTCTTAAACTTGCACGTGGTCTGTAAAGTAGCATGGAAACACAAAACTTCAACATACACAAA